GAGGTTATCTCCTTAATTATTGATTAAATCAAAAAAAATTGTTGACAAAGTTTGTTTAGAATTGTTTCAGGAACAATTTTTGTTAACACAATTTTTTTCTAACTTGAAATTTTAATTTCCCACTGAACAGTATGCTACAAAAATTAATATTTTTGAGGTTATATCCTTATTGTTGATTTAATCAAAAAAAAATGTTGACAAAGTTTGTTTAGAATTGTTTCAGGAACAATTTTTGTTAACACAATCTTTTTCTAACTTGAAATTTTAATTTCCCACTGAACAGTATGCTGTTCTTTTAATCAGATCGAGTGGAGGGGGAAAATCGTATCGTTTTGTTACAAAAGTTCCGTGCCCTAGTTATCATATAATAGAAGTTTTATAACTGAAGTTAATTTTTAAAGTGTTTTTTTGGGTCATTTCACATTGATTAAAAATAGTCGTCGATTTGTATGTATAAAAATGCTTGTGATAGCTATCATCAGTGTTCTGTGATAAAAATGGACAGACACCAGACAATTTTCAATAGTTTGAGCCTGTCTATTCTGAGAAATCTTATATTTTTAGACAGATAAAAATGAAAATCCCGTTTTTCTCAACATTATTTTTTTGTCGCTTAGTCAAGTGATGCATAACGCGGTCTAATTGGTCTTCAATCTTAAAAAAACAAGTTTAGAATTACAATGTCTAGGCACTACACAAGCAAGCTTTCAATGCAACTTACTTTGACTTCTACGTCTTTAAAGAGAAAGTTGTTTTTATCTTAGTATTGAAAATGGTGGTAAGAAGAAGTAGTGGCCTGATTAGGAGCCAGGCTGGGGTGGTGTTGGATTAGTAACAATTTTTAACTTAATCATTTTTCAATATTATCACTAGGAGGTGCTATATACTAATGTAAACACTTCTTAATTTCCCTGTGAACAGTATGGCTAAAATTGATACTATTTTATTTTTTTGTAGGAATTCTACAGAACTCTTGGGATCACCCCGCATGGCAGTTCATCATCTTTACCCGCCTAGTAGCCATCCGGCTGCGTCGTTAGCCCGCATGATAGACCAAACCGACACAATCTCGCGCCTTGCTTCTTCGCGTAGGCAATTTAGCAGAGATCTGCAAGAATGGCCGAGAAAAAATTGGACACTATTGCATCCACTGCCCGTACCGCAGGCAGTGGAACAGACTCTTTACCAGTGAACGCGAGTGTTAGTGCCGCCGTTGAATCAACGACCACGAGCCACAATAACAACAATCACATCAATCATATTATTACAAACGGTTCCCCGTATAAGCAACCCCTTAAGTTGCAGTTCACCAATTTATACCCGAATGATAAAGAAGTTGATGCACTTCTTCCTTCATCGTTAAAAGTATCCACTGTGTCGCCCGATGGAGAGAAATCGTCTCTTCACGTTCAATTTGATCATGTTGATGATGAGGATGAGTCCATAAAAGAGCAACCTAGTCCATCGTCTATTGATAGTGATAGTTCTTCGTCGAGTAGCTCTTCAAGTAGTGAAAAATCAATTGAAATCTCCGAAGCACGTCCACCCGATGGTGGGTGGGGTTGGGTAGTTGTAGCAGCGTCGTTCGTTGTTAATTTAATAGCTGATGGGATAACGTTTAGTTTTGGAGTTATTTTCGTTGAATTTCTCGAGTATTTCGGTGAAAATCGTGCAAAGACTTCATGGATAGGCAGTTTATTTATGGCTATGCCTTTATTGTCCGGCCCAATAGCTTCATTTCTAACAGATCGATACGGTTGTAGAGCTGTAACAATGGCCGGCTCCGTTTTGGCAGCCGCAGGATTCGTGATTAGCTCAATGTCGAATAGCATGGAAGTATTGATTATTACTTTTGGTGTCTTCGCCGGATTTGGGCTAAGTTTATGTTATGTGGCGTCCGTTGTAATAGTAGCTTATTATTTCGATAAGAAGAGATCTTTCGCAACTGGTTTATCGGTTTGCGGAAGTGGGATTGGCACATTTATTTTTGCACCGTTAATACAATTACTTTTGGATCATTATGGTTGGAGAGGTACCACATTGATTTTGGCCGGTTTATTCTTAAATTTAGCTGTTTGTGGCGCTTTGATGCGGGATCTTCCGTGGACTCCGAGCAGTTTAAAATCGAAAGAACGAAAGAAAAATAAAATATTAAAAAAGAAAAAGAGTCAATCATCAGCGGATACTTTCTCTGTAAGCAATAGCACGAACACCGCGAGTGTTTTACAACCCATTTTAGAAGCGAATGAAAATCCTCATCATGAAGACGAAGACGAACTTCATGGTCACGATCGCTTATCAAGCTCTTTAGTTAATCTCCCAACGTATGTTAAAAACGGGGAGAAAGTCCCTGTTGAAGTTTTAGAACTGCTATCGAAAAACCCCAACGTTTACAACGTACTAATGCATAACTACCCTAATTTATTAACCCAATCGAGAAGTTTCAGCGATTCCGGTCGATTAAACGAAGCTCACCTTCTCCAACAGAAACACTCTGTGCCTTCTCCTCTATCTGTTAACCCACCACCGATACAAAATCAATCGTCCGATGCCGCCCTTTTATGGTGGTTAAAACGTAGCGATATTTCACCTCCTCGAATGATTCACGCCAAAAAAACGGTCCAACCGGCTTATTTAAAAGATTTACGAGTACACCGACTCTCTTTAACCTATCGCGGAGCCATGTTGAACATCAATCGGTATCGATTAAGAGCTTCTTCTTGTCCGGATATTTACCGGAATTCAATGACCACCATTGCGAAAGAAAAACACGACTTCTTCGGCGGCTTTCGGGATTTAAAGAAGATTTTAGTTGATATGTTTGACTTTTCACATTTCGCCGATCCAAAATTTTTAATATTTGCCATTTCGAATTTTTTGTTATACACTTGGTACGATGTACCCTACGTGTATCTATCTGATTACGCCAATACCATTGAGTTACCCAAAGAAGTCGGATCGTTTTTGATTAGTAATATAGGAATTATTAATATGATTGGAGAGGTAAGTTTTTTGATTTTTCATTTTGACGTGTTTATTTGAAAGTGGTGGGTTTTTGTTGTAGATAATGCTGGGTTGGGCTGGTGATCGTCCGGAATTTGACGCGGGGATTATTTATGCTGTTTGTATGGGATTTTGTGGTGCGGCAACGGCGTTTATACCGATTTTAAGATCGTACAGTGCACTTTTAGTAGCAACCGGAGCCTTTGGTCTGTTTATCGCTGCCAATTACTCTTTAACATGTATTATCTTGGTCGATTTGCTGTCCCTTGATAAATTTACGAATGCCTATGGGTTACTCTTGTTAGTACAAGGTATCGCCAATTTAATTGGACCACCAATAGCAGGTAAATATTTTTAAATTAAATATATTTTAGTCTATAAGTCTAACTTAAAATGTCAGTACTCGGCTTCATTTGGAATTGGCAATATTTAGTCTTCTTTTAAGAGTATCTAAGCTTCTGCCATCAATATCTAGTCTTCTATTGGCCCTATTCAGTCTTTCATTAAGAGTATCTGAGGTTCAAGCTGCAGTACATAGTCCGAAATGTTTTCTGCCATTAGTATTGGCAATATTTAGTCTTCTATTAAAAGTATCTAAGCTTCTGGTAGCAGTATCTAGTCTTAATATGTTTTCTACAAACAACATCTAGTTTTCTTTTGGCAATATTTAATCTTCTATTAAGAGTATCTAAGCTTCTGCCATCAATATCTATAATAATAATAATTTATTTAATCACCTGGCTACAAATAGTAGATGTGACAAGTTCAAACCACATACACTATATAATACACAACATACACAATATTCAACAAAGAAAGAGAGAAATTAAATTATGAGGTATGACCTATGCTAGTTGACTAGGACTAATACTAAAATTAAATGACAAGTATTCCTGGCGGTCGTAAAACGCCCTTTCTACAAGCATCATTTTTACTTTATGTTTAAATGAGCTAAGCGTATCAGCTTTTTTAATTGCAGATGGCAAATTATTATAGAGCTTTGGGAAATCATACCGTGGACTCTTTTCAAAGAAAGCCGTCTTATGATGACCCAAGCACACCAAACTATCAGATCTAGTTTCGTAATTGTGTTTCATGACAGGGTATCTATCGACATGCTCCCGCACATGAACAACTGATTTATANTTTTTAGTTTCATTAATTAGTTTTCTATATGAACCCTTCTTAACATTATATAAGTTACGCAACTCCGGATAACCGTTGCTCATAATCCAAAACATGTCTTTAAGTTCCCTGCCAGCACTTATTATATCATTTGTAATCCAGGGAGCTCTATTACAACCAGCAGTCTAGTCTTCTATTGGCCCTATTCAGTCTTTCATTAAGAGTATCTGAGGTTCAAGCTGCAGTACATAGTCCGAAATGTTTTCTGCCAGTAGTATTGGCAATATTTAGTCTTCTATTAAGAGTATCTAAGATTCTGGCAGCAGTATCTAGTCTGATATGTTTTCTACAAACAACATCTAGTTTTCTTTTGGCAATATTTAATCTTCTATTAATAGTATCTAAGCTTCTGCCATCAATATCTAGTCTTCTATTAGCCCTATTCAGTCTTTCATTAAGAGTATCTGAGGTTCAAGCTGCAGTACATAGTCCGAAATGTTTTCTACCAGCAGTATTTGACGTGTATCTGCCAGCATTTATACCGATTTTTTAAGCCCGAGTTATTAGGTCTTAGAATGAGAGTGTGGCGGAGTTTTGACGTCGCCGATTTTGTTGGGAAGATGACCGAATTTGATTATTTAGCATTCTGGAAGCAATCTAATCTTATCCGCAGTATGTAACTTTCTGCAAGGAGTATTTCCTCTTTTACCAGAGGTGTCCAACCTTCTATTACTAATATCTCGGCTTCTACCAGCAGTATTTAGTCTCCTATTGACAATATTTAGTCTTCTATTAAGAGTATTTAAGCTTCTGGTAGCAGTATCTAGTCTGAAATGTCTTCTGCTAGCAGTGTCTAGCTATGTACTACGAATATTTAGTTCTATTGCAATGTTAATGTTAATAATAATAATGGTACTTAGTCCGCTATTAGTTTTGCCACGTATATTTAATGTAAGTCCTTTGCTAACAGTATCATTTAGACGAAGTAAAAGTTGTAACAAGTTTTCTGTGGGTGAGAGCCCAACTTTCTTGAGAGTTCTATGTTTCAACCTCAATATTTATAGATAAAGGAATCTTTTCAACAATTTTGAGCAATTTTGCCTTGGAAACAAAGCTTATTCACAATGTGTAGGTATCATCATTAATGATGTAATAGCAATTTAAACAATGGCTGAAATGCATTAGTAATATGCCTAATGTTATTATAGGCATTTTTATAACTAAGAATTATTTATTGTGTAACCCTCCAGACTTAGTTTCCTCATTTTTTGATTATGAGTCATGAGGTATTCAACAATACTTATGGCGGCCTACAAATTTCGATATTCTTTAAAAATAAACCAAGGAGACTAACATTTATTAGATTAGCTTGATTTAGACACATTTCCTAATCTGTTGTTAATATCAGCAAGGAAATTAATAAAAAGCAAATATATACATACCAAGTATCTGCTCCATCCTCTTAATTTAATCCCAATTCTACATTCCCTTGTATATTTTCCTTCCTGGTGGTTTTTCCTTAATAATCTGGGGAAGAAAATAGAAAACATTTTAATTTATTAAAAAATAATTAATAAATATTTTTTTTTAGGTTGGATTTTTGATATAACAGGAAAATACGATTTATCTTTCTACCTATCTGGGTTTTTCATTGGCTTATCTGGTCTCTTACTATTTATATTACCAGCTACGAAAAGATATCGACGATTTCAAACGTTACACAGGCAAGCTTCAGAATGTACAATGAACGGCGAATTAGATCCTAAAGAACCCAGATTTTACAACATCTTAACCTCCTGCATCACAGGGCAGGTCAACGAGAAAAGAAAAAAGAATATAACCGAGGAACAGCATGTCTAATCAATTTATAAATGTTTTCGAATTAAAAAAAAATATTTATTAAAACCAATTTTAGCCCCTTGATACATTTTACTTTAATAGTAACTAGATTAGAAATGCGGGGCAACTTTTCGTTTGAAAGTTTGATGTTTGTAGATTAATTAATTAATCTTGTAAAAAAAAAAATTATAATAATAATAAAGTCTTGAAGTACCTTCATTAGTACTTCTATTAGAGGATTAGCGTCTCTCAGGATTGAAACCTGAAAAGTAAAATAAAAGTTGTAATAATTCTAAATTTGCTGTTACAAAAAATTATATTAAAATAAAACGCTCCGGAGTGTTTTTTCACAGTTGATATTTAGTAAGCTCTCCTTTTTACGATTGATAATTAATCGTTTAGATCTCATTCAACGAGTTCATGAACAAAGATGATTTGGATCTAACAAATTAAGCAGTATTTTTATTTTCAAATTAGAATTAAATGATTTTTTTTTGTTCAAGTAGAAAGGCTGTGTCAGTATTTCAATCCTATTAAAATGTAACAAATTAATCCACATCCAAGTATTTTTTTAGCCACATCCTCTTTTTTTAAACAATTAATTTTTTTTAATCCACAAAGCGTATCTGTGATTATAGTTTTACAATTACAAAAACAATTCATTTCATTTTTATTAGTCACAGGAAACGTTTTATTTGATAATATCCTCGTTTATTAGAACAATGTTAAAGAATAAAAACTTGTTTAAAGGATTTTGTGGTTTTTTATTTATTATTTAAGTCTCCAATAAAAACATTTTCTCCTCCTCAACGTTTTTAAATTTCGGATTAAACTCGAATTCGTAAATTTTCGTAAACCCTTCGTTTAAATCGGGGTATTGAAAGTTTTTTAAATAAGTATAAGTTAAATAAGGCAAGTTTTCATGAGTTCTTGAAGGGAATTTCTTGCCAGTAGTATTTGACGTATATTATGGATTTTTCCGATTGTGGCGGAGTTTTGACGTTGCCGATGTTGTTGGGAAGAAGACAAAATTTGATCATTTAGTCATCTGGAAGCAATCTAATCTTATCAGCAGTATGTAGCTTTCTGCAAGGAGTATTTCCTCTTTTACCAGTGATATCCAACCTTCTATTACCAATATCTCGGCTTCTACCAGCAGCATTTAGTCTTCTATTGACAATATTTAGTTTTCTATTAAGAGTATTTAAGCTTCTGGTAGCAGTATCGACAGTTGCTGAAGCATTACTCCATACCGGGCAAGCATAGGGGATCTTATTAAAGCATTATATAGCAACACAGTGCGTTTTCAGATAACTTTTTCTGTTTATTAGAGGAAATAGTTGTTTCAATCGAGCATATCCCAAATTCAATCTGTTGTTTAGGTGAATACTCCAATTTAATCGTTGATCAAGATGCAGGCCTAAGTATTTGACAGCTTTGTCTTTATTCTAATGAAGTTCTGTGTTATTGATTACAATGCGTGTTGGATTTCGGTAAAGATCTTTGATTAACAATCTTTGAGTAAGCCATGTCTGCACGTCGTTAATAGCATCTTGTAGCTGTTGTATAGCTTCTTCCAAATCACTACCTTGGGTCATAATCAACATATCGTCAGCAAACAGAGCTTTTTCATTGCATCTTTGGCACGGTATAAATATATTAAATAAAGTTGGTGACAATATACCTCCTGCTCTAATACATCTTGTATCTGAATAGGTCCCATTTATTCTCACACAAAAAGTTCGTTCTTGAAGATATGACATAAGTATTGCGGTAATATAGTCATCTAGACCTACATGCAATAGTTTGAATTTTAATCCCTCCGTCCAAACTGTATCAAAGGCTTTAGCTACATCTAAAAAGGTGATAGTGGTGTATTGCTTATTTTCAAAACCTTTGAAAACATTTCTTTCCAGCAGCTGATCTTGAAGTCCTCGTATTATAACTTTTTCAAACAATTTTGAGAGAGTCGGTAAGAGGCTTATAGGACGGTAATTAGATATAAGAGTGCTCTGTTTTCCTGGCTTGGGAAACATTAGTATCCCAGCATTTTTCCAAGTCAAAGTAACTAATTTTTAAACATGAATTAAAGATATCAGGTGTTTTAGAATTAAATTTGGTATAAGGTCATGCCCTGGGGCCTTTCTGTTGGGTAGATTGTTAATTAAATATCTGATTTCTTCATTTGTTACTTCTTCATCTACTCTTCCTATTCGCGGAAGATGAGTTTTATTGTATGTTTGAATAGTAACAGAAGAAGACATGCTTTCTTGAGGTATGTGAAGAGTAAATGTTAACTCAAGATAATCAGCAAAGGCTTGAGTTTTTCCTTCATCAGTAGAGAACTGATTCCCGTTATGGATAATTGTAGGAATTTCTTCGTGTCTTCTCAGTATTTTTCTTGTTGTTATCCACATTCTTTGGCAATATTTAGTCTTCTATTAAGAGTATCTAAGCTTCTGGCAACAGTATCTAGACTTCTGTTGGCCCTATTCAGTCTTTCATTAAGAGTATCTGAGGTTCAAGCTGCAGTACATAGTCCGAAATGTTTTCTGCCAGTAGTATTGGTAATGTTTAGTCTTCTATTAAGAGTATCTAAGATTCTGGCAGCAGTATCTAGTCTGATATGTTTTCTACAAACAACATCTAGTTTTCTTTTGGCAATATTTAATCTTCTATTAAGAGTATCTAAGCTTCTGCCATCAATATCTAGTCTTCTATTGGCCCTATTCAGTCTTTCATTAAGAGTATCTGAGGTTCAAGCTGCAGTACATAGTCCGAAATGTTTTCTGCCAGTAGTATTTGACGTATATTATGGATTTTTGCGATGCGTCAACGGCATTTATACCGATTTTTGAAGCCAGGGTTATTAGGTCATCTTAGGATGAGTGTGGCGGAGTTTTGACGTTGTTGGGAAGATGACAAAATTTGATCATTTAGCCTTCTGGAAGCAATCTAATCTTATCAGCAGTATGTAGGAGTATTTCCTCTTTTACCAGAGGTATCCAACATTCTATTACCAATATCTCAGCAGCATTTAGTCTCCTATTAAGAATAGTATTTACTCTGAAATGTTTTCTGCTAGCAGTATCTTGGTTATTAGAACAATGTTAAATAAAAACTTGTTTAAAGAATTTAGTGTTTTTTTTTATTTATTATTTAAGTCTCTAACAAAAACATTTTATACAATTTCTCGTCCTCAACGTTTTTAAATTTCGGATTAAACTCGAATTCGTAAATTTTCGTAAACCCTTCGTTTAAATCGGGGTATTGAAAGTTTTTTAAATAAGTATTAATTAAAATATCGCTAATAACGGCGTGATTCTTATCTGTGATGGTACGAAAATAATTATTATGCTTAATTTGTTTCGAAGGAACTTTCATAACAAAACATTTAACAGGAACATCATAATTTTTACAAACATTTAAGTATTGCGCTCGCGATTCTTTATTTGGATGAGTATTATCGATGGTGACACATTTTCCTGTCTTTAAAGCCTCATCTAAAAGTCTCAAACATTTCTCTTTTGACCCCAACATGTCTCTGTTAATTAAAATGTATCCGTGAGGTGCTATATTTTGTTGATAAAAATAAGATTTTCCAGAACCTTGACAACCAACCATCATGATAACTTCTTGTTTATCAGATTCTAATGGAATTTCTTGATTGAAACAGCTTAAATTTCGGGGATCAAAGGAAGGCATTTGAAAGGGAACTGATCGTGCTTCCAAAAAAAATTCCTCAGGGGTTTTAAATTTAATCCCAATGTTTAACGCGAATAATCTATCTGCTAAAGAATGATCTTTCTTTTTACCCACACCCCAATTTTTTTCGCGACCCGCTGCATCCCCAACAAAAATACTTTCATCATCATTAATATTAGGATAAGAACGTTTTAAAACATCCCACATCCCAGGGGCAGGTTTTCTGTAAATATCTCGTTGTGTAGCTATAAAAGCTTTTAAAGGAACATTAAATTCTTTGGAAATGTTTTCAATTTTTTTCTTAAAAAACGGAACATATTTGGCGTTTTCTTTCCCCAAACGGAGTTGGTTAGAAAAAATTACAATCATATAACCTTTGTCAGACAACCGATTTAATTTTAATTTCACCTCTGGGGACCATAACTTCCAATCTTTGTAATCAACAGGAAATCTTTGACCTGATTTTGTTGTTATTAAAGTTCCATCCATATCAAAACCAGCAACTTTTAAGTCTTTTAATGTACCAAATGAAGAATCTAAAAATTGAGGTGATGTATATATTAGTAAGGATTGATCAATAGTCTCCCATAACCCGGATTCTTCACTTAAAGCTCTAACAATTTTTGGCTTTTTAGTGGGTGGTTCTTCTAAAATTTTTGGCTCAAAAATAATCTCAAATTGATGAATACCGATTAAAACCTCCAAGATGCTATTATTGTTAAGAAGATACATTTTATTTTCCACCAAAGCAAAACCATCACATCCTGATAAATTCGTTCCATTAGCTACACATTTAACAATTCTACTTTCGTAGTTCGCTTTAAGAAGAAGTTGCTTCCTTGAAACTTTAGGATCGATAATTTTTGATGGTTCATTGCGTCCAAGTTCGAATAACTTATTATTTTCTAATGTTAATTTAGTTTCTGGGTTTTTAATTGATTTTAAATAACAAGATGTTGCTTTGTTGGACATTTTTGACAAGCTTCTTGGCGCCAATAAATTGATGCAATAATTACCTTTTAATTGATTAATTTTTATGGGGTTTAAAAAAGCCTTCATTAGATTGTGTTAATATTAATAAACCACATTTTTTTATGATTAAATTAATAAAAATATTGAAATAAAATAAGTGGAAAAAAATCTGTCAAAATTTGTATTGCCAACTTTGAAAATCAATCTCCCCCAATCATTTTTTACGAAAAATTAATCAAAATTATTTACAATTCTATTAAAATTGAAATTAATTTTGATTAAAACAATAAAAGCAACACGAAGAGATCAATAAACGAAGATGTACACTGTGTTAATTAATTATCGTAACTCAGCGTGACTTGTGTAATATTGGCTGCCTATCTCGAAAGAAAATACAAAATTTTTTTTAATTATTAAAATATATCTTAATATTTTTTATTATAAACAGTTTTTGAAGTTAATGTTGATTACTGTCTCGTACGATAATTAATTAACACGTTGTATTTGAAACATCGATTAATGATAGATTAAAAATAGGTTAGAAATGTCACAATAAAAATAAAAACGATAAAATTAATTATTTCCATGATTAATGCAAACCATGAAAGTTAAAATAAACAATTTGAATGTAAAAATAAGGTTGGAGATATCAAAAAAGTAATAAAACACAAGGGTTAAATAAAATGGTAAAAGTGAGGTTAGAAACGTCAAAATAAATCAAAATGAGGTTAGAATCGTTTAAAATGTTTCATATCTAAATAACATTTAAAGTGATTAATAAAACGTTTTCGAAGTCAATTAAATGTGTTGGATAATCTTAATGCCATCCAGAGTCTATTACTATCTAGAGTCTATCTAGCTCATTTCCCCCTCTATTAGAGATGCAAAGATTGCGATATTGTGTTATTAAACGCCCCTTGAATGTCTAAGAATGTACAAAGCAATAGTTGCTCATTAAAAGATGGTGATATTCTACCCACTAGGTTGTATAGAGCTGGTTCAGCAAATTTTTTTATTTAATAAGCATACTGATAGGGATAGTTAGTGTCTTTGAGTTAATGCACCTTGCCAAGAATTTTCCGTCTGTCGTCAATGATATACTAGAAAGCATTAAAATATGTATTCTTAATCAAATACCTCGGCTTCAGTCTCTTAACTCTTAGTAACATCAAGGTGAGCCTTTGGCCACAAGCGACCTGGGGTTCAGTCTCTCAACTTGTGATCAGACGTGATCGAGCTGCTAGATACGGTTGGTAGATGATTGAAAACTGCTTCCAGAAGCTAGATATTGTTAGTAGAAGACAAAAAACTGCTTGGAGAATACTAGATACTGCTGGCAGAAGCTAAATACAGTTGGTAGATGATTAAAAACTGCTTCCAAAAGCTAGATATTGTAAGTAGAATACAAAAAACTGCTTGAAGAATACTAGATACTGTTGATAGAAGACTAAAAACTGCTTGTAGAATACTAGATAGTGCTTGCAGAAGCTACATACTGTTGGTAAATGACTAAAAACTGCTTGCAGAAGCTAGATACTGTTGGTAGATAACTAAAAACAGCTTGTAGAAGCTAGATACTATTGATAGAAGACAAAAAACTACTTAGAAAACTACATATGAATCAGAAACGTGGAGCCTGACAGCTAGCGATACAAAGAAATTCTTGTTTTTGAAAGAAACTAATCAGACGAATATTCAGACCAATATGTGAGCGAGGAGAATGGCCAGAGAGAGAGAGAGAGAGAAAACATTGTACGCTTTATAAAGACCCAACGTTTCAGGTGGATTGGACATACCATGAGAATGGCTACCAAAAAAGAATGTTTGAGTCTAACGTGACAGGGAGAAAATCGCTGCAAGGATGAACGAAAACTTCATCTTCCATATAGTAGTGAAAATCTTCCATGGAATGTTTATTTCATCGCATTGCAATGTAGTAGACGAAGAAAGATCGCTTCCTTTATGAAGAGAAAGTTTTCTTGAAAACAACATTATGTTTCACTGAAAACAACCTTATATTGTTGCAATTTTGTTGCTACAAAGTTGATCAAATTTAAGGAAAACATCAAAACAAACAACATTTTCTTAAACATCAGAAAATTTTAACCTAATTTTATGTACCACACCCTTTATCTATCATAAAATTTACGTTTAAAAACAAAGATGGCGTAATAATTAGTGTTTTGTTTTCGGCCATCTTGATTTTTTAGAAATAAAGATATCTTGGGGGTCAAAGCACTTAGATATGTCGAGTTTGCGCTCATTTGACGTGTTTTTTAATTATTTACTATAATATTTAGAAATTATTTGTTTTCCCCCCAACTTCTTTGTCTTAATATCTCGGAACTATATTATTTAATGTTTAAAAAAAAAATAACGAGGTACTATATATTACGAACGAGATTAATTTTTAGTCCTATTTGTGATAAAAAATTTCCCAACTCATCCATTAAAAAAAAAAATACTTTAATGATTTATATCGTTGTATAAATTCGTTGTATAGGTACCTTGGTTTAATATTACATTTTTATCATTTCATATCGTTTATGATAAGCTGGATTAAATCCATCCACACTTTCTCGTTGGACTTTGCCCTTGAGCCACACAATTATAAACGTTGACATTCTATAAATACACTTCAGTGTTAAAGCGTCGCGCACGCATGTAATTCTCCTTTAAAAACGGTGTTTTTATTTTTTAACATGGCCCATTTAAATAAGGTAAACAAGTATTTAAACGAATTTAAAAAATGTTTCTTAATTAATTTATTTTAGATTTTTAAAACATGTTTGAAACCATCGTTGAGAGCCTTTTCTTCCACACCATCATCAATTGGATATAATTTTGAGTTATCTGATAGTCAAAGAGAAATCCACGAATTAATAAAGAAATTCGTTAAAGACGAAATAATTCCTAAAGCAGCTCATTATGATAAAACGGGGGAATATCCTTGGCCGATTTTTAAGGGAATGTGGAAGTTGGGGTTAGCAAATAGGCACATTCCAGCCGAATTTGGTAAATTATACAAAAATAAATTACGCGTTTTTTGTATCAAAGGTCAAAGTGTTTAATGTTGTTATGAATTTTATCTAACAGATAATTATTAGATAACTATTAAATAATATCAAATGTCTCAAATAATAGGATATCTTTATTTAATTAAAGGAAACACCGAATTAACCGCTTTCGAATCTGGTTTAATCGACGAAGAACTCGGCTTCGGATGCAGCGGGATTCAAACTGCAGTATCCGGAACTAATTTAGGGGTATATTTCAATAAAAAAATCAAAATCGTTTAAATAAAATTAACTTTTTAGCAAGCACCGATTATTATGGCCGCAAATAAAGAGCAAAAGAAAAAATATCTAGGTAGATTAATCGATGAACCTATTGTAGCGGTAAGTTTTAACAAAACAAATTTTATTTATCTAAAATTTAATTTACAAAGGCTTACGCTGTAACTGAACCATCAGGAGGTTCTGATGTAAACGCCGTTCGAACTAAAGCCGAGAAAAAAGGCGACGAATACATCCTAAACGGCCAAAAAATGTGGATAACCAACGGTGGAGTCGCAAATTGGTACTTTGTTTTAGCACGAACCCATCCTGACCCGAAATGTCCCGCGAACAAAGCATTCACAGGTTTTATCGTTGAAAGAGATTGGCCTGGGGTAATCCCCGGAAGGAAAGAACAAAATATGGGGCAAAGGGCGTCAGATACGCGGGGAATCACCTTCGAAGATGTTCGAATTCCCAAAGAAAATGTGTTAATCGGCGAAGGAGCCGGTTTTAAAATCGCCATGTCGACATTCGACAAAACAAGACCTTCAGTTGCAGCTGCCGCAACTGGTTTAGCAGCTCGAGCTTTACACGAAGCTTCAAAATACGCTTTAGAAAGAAAAGCTTTTGGCGTACCAATAGCCCACCATCAAGCCATCGCTTTCAAATTGGCCGATATGGCGATTAATGTTGAATTGGCTCGTTTGGGATGGAAAAAAGGTGCTTGGGAAACCGATTGCGGGATAAGAAACAGTTACTCAGCTTCGATCGCTAAATGTTTCGCCGGAGACATTGCGAATCAATGTGCTTCAGATGCTGTTCAAATCTTTGGAGGAAACGGCTTTAATAGTGAATATCCCGTTGAAAAGTTGATGAGGGACGCGAAAATTTTCCAAATTTATGAGGGAACCGCTGAAATTCAAAGACTTGTCATTTCTAGGCATATTCTTAGTGCTGCTAAAGATTTGGCTTAAAAATTAATGTTCTTAAATTTCGTTTATTCTTAATTGTTGGGTATTATTTATCAAGATGATTTATTTTATATACTTAAATAAACAAATCTAATAAATATTTTGATTTAATCCGTTTTGTTTTTATAAAGCAAAAATAACCCAACTCAAAGTTTAAAATGTTAAAAATAAGGAAGAAAAGTGGAGGGGAAGGTCAGGATTATTAAATAACGTTATAAATGTTGATTAAGATCGAGTATTTAGATGTATAAAGTCGAATTTTCGACGAATCCTCCAAGAATATTAATTTTTAACATCCTTCGATAGCTCAGTTGGTAGAGCGGTGGACTGTAGAAGATTTGAAAGTTGAAATCCATAGGTCGCTGGTTCAAATCCGGCTCGAAGGAGCTTTTTTGTTGCTGTGGGTTGTTAAATTTTATATTACAAAGTTAGGTTGCTATAGGAGAGTGATTTGAAGTAAGACAAGTTGAAAATGAATGACAGGAAGATTACCGGAACCATCGAACTCTTTGACAACCTCAAAATCAATAATTAATGAAGCTAATACCACTCATTGAAACTTAGTTAGAGCAGAAAGGCAATTAAAAACTATGTTTTTCACATCAAAAATTTGTTTATATCATTTATACGAATAATTGATCCTTCAAGAAATGGATTTTATAAGAATTTTTAAAACTTAAATGACGAAAATGGTAAAATTCGAAAAAATTGTCGATCATTTCAAAAATTTATTTCTCAAAAACAAAAAGTGATTTTTCAAAACGGATTGTTGCATTAAAAAGAGGATACGTTAATTAATAATTGGTGATATTTCCACAAGAATCCTTCAAGAAATTAATTTTATAGCGAATTTTGAAAATTATCGATGAAAATTGCAACATCGAAAATTTTATCAAAACTTCAAATATTGTTTTCTCAAAAACTAAAAGTTATTTTTCAAAACGGGTTGGTTCATTGGAAAGAGGACACTTTTATTAACACTTTGGGAAATTTTCATACTCATATTCCAAGAAATGGATTTTATACGAATTTTTAAAACTTAATCGGCGAAAATTGCAAAATTCGAAAAAATTGTCGATCATTTCAAAAATTTATTTCTCAAGAACTAAAAGTGATTTTTCAAAACGGCTTTTTGCATTAAAAAGAGGATACTTTAATTAATAATTGGTGATATTTCCACAAGGATCCTTCAAGAAATTAATTTTATAGCGAATTTTGAAAATTATCGATGAAAATTGCAACATCGAAAATTTTATCAAAACTTCAAATATTGTTTTCTCAAAAACTAAAAGTTATTTTTCAAAACGGGTTGGTTCATTGGAAAGAGGACACTTTTATTAACACTTTGGGAAATTTTCATACTCATATTCCAAGAAATGGATTTTATACGAATTTTTAAAACTTAATCGGCGAAAATTGCAAAATTCGAAAAAATTGTCGATCATTTCAAAAATTTATTTCTCAAGAACTAAAAGTGATTTTTCAAAACGGCTTTTTGCATTAAAAAGAGGATACTTTAATTAATAATTGGTGATATTTCCACAAGGATCCTTCAAGAAATTAATTTTATAGCGAATTTTGAAAATTATCGATGAAAATTGCAACATCGAAAATTTTATCAAAACTTCAAATATTGTTTTCTCAAAAACTAAATGTTATTTTTTCAAAACGGGTTGGTTCATTGGAAAGAGGACACTTTTATTAACACTTTGGGAAATTTTCATACTCATATTCCAAGAAATAAATTTTATACGAATTTTTAAAGCTTAATCAGCGAAAATTGCAAAATTCAAAAAAAAAATCATTTCAAAAATTTATTTCTCGAAAACTAAAAGCGATTTTCCAAAACGTCTTTTTGCATGCAAAAGAGCAAACTTTAATTAATAATTGGTGATATTTCCACAAAGATCCTTCAAGAAATTAATTTTATAGCGAATTTTGAAAATTATCGATTAAAATTGCAACATTGAAAATTTTATCAAAACTTGAAATATTGTTTTCTCAAAAACTAAAAGTTATTTTTCAAAACGGGTTGGTTCATTGGAAAGAGGATACTTATATTAACACATTGGGAAATTTTCATACTCATATTCCAAGAAATGGATTTTATTCGAATTTTTAAAACTTAATCGGCGAAAATTGCAAAATTCGAAAAAAATCATTTCAAAAATTTATTTCTCGAAAACTAAAAGCGATTTTCCAAAACGCCTTGTTGCATTAGAAGGAGGATACTTTAATTAATAATTGATGATATTTCCCCAAGGATCCTTCAAGAAATTAATTTTTTGTTTTTTATTACATATAATGTTGAGATATTTGAAATAAATCCTTATAATTTATTTGAGAAAAGTTTGAAAATAATCTCTTGAGAATACAACGAGAAAGTGGTAGAACTTTTAAAAACTAATTGGATTTAAAAGAAAAGATCTATTTGGAAAAAAAGGATCGTAATTACGTTCTCTGCGTTAATTCGAATAGTTAATTGGTGTATTCATTACGAACAGCTCTAGATTTAGTAGAGTGTGAAAGTGTGTAAAAATAAGCTCGAATTTAAATTTCGACGTGAAAATTACAGATAATCCTTCTACTTAATCACATTTAGTAGAGCGTGGTTTCCTACAACTTCTCTTTTTCTTGGGTTAATTAGCATTGACAATTTCTAAAATCTACAATTACAATTTTTATTCCTATATTAGTATTATATTAGTATTACAGTACGGTGGCAAATTTAGTAATAATAAGCGCTTCCATCACTATCATGTCTTGAATAACCAGCGTTAGTTTGTGGGGAATGATGGCCAGAATTCATCAACTTTATGTTGCTGGGATGTCGTCTTTCTTTAATTCCTCCGATAAATACGGGATGTGACTAAGATGTATTAAAAGAATTAATTTAAATTTATTGATATAATTAAATTTTAATCTTACTTCGTTATATTTTTTATAAGCAATTGGTTTTCCGTGACATGCAACAGCAGCAGCTGCACTTATAGCATCCCTTTCTGGTTTAATATCCCTCGTATTCCTTAACCTTCTCCATGTATCTATATTTAAAGTTTCTTTTTGTAAAACAACATCTACCTTGTCGCTAAATAATTCCTCATCTGGATTGTAAGCTGATTGTAAGCGAAAATCTAAGACATCTTTTGGAATAAGATTTCTAAAAACCCCACACTTTAAAGTTCAAGCTTTTTAAACAAGACACACTTACGGAAATGCGTGAAAATGCGCATATCTTCTTGCACTACATAAAGTTTGACAACCATATAATCGATCGAAACACGATAACCCCTCAGACCAAGCTGTTCCGATTGCGGCCTTACCAACTTTTGGAAACGGTTTAACAAGTTCACCTTCTGATCCTATAAACGGTGTAGGTCCACGATTTCTAACTCTGGTAATCGCCATTTTTAACAAAAAAGATGTTTCAAGACATTAACCCCCCGAAAAAAAAAAATTTACCCAATCAACTGTCAAAATCTAAAATAAGAACGAATTTTTTGAAAATTCATAGTAACCAAACCCAGGTAACCATCGAATTAACAACCATTACGTCCCTATTGATTTTTGGTAACGACACGGACAAAAAATTTCGTTGTGACATATTTTTTAAGAAATTGTTATGGATGTGAGATGAGCAAAAGGAAAAAATGGCGTTCGGTGGTCATCCTAATATTGATGTCTACGATGAGGAGTTCAACAATTATTTAAATATCGCTAAAGGTCTTATACGAAAAATTAAAAGAGGGGGTGGTAAGAACTTTTAACCATATTTTTAATTCCTTTGATTAAAATTTTAAAATCAGATCGAAGAATCTGCACAAAATGGATTACAAAACTATGCAAATTAGAATCGGACGACCCACAAGTAAAGAAAAATCGAAACGAATTTTTCAAATACATGCTTGTCATCCTTCATCGGTCGCTCGACGAAAAACCGAAATTTCACGAGATGCCACAATACAACGCAAAGCACGAGAAGCTTAATGAAAGCTTGGGGGGTAAAACTTTTATGAGTCGATGGTCGCAGGATAAAAGAACTTACGTCGCGGTTAAACCTATCCCGCAAGGAGGAGCTTTGGTTTATATGGCTGTCGCCAAAGAGCCAAATATGGGATGGGAATATGGTCGTCATTAATTATTGTATTTATATTTTTTTGAACAGATTGTTAAAAGTGAAAAATCGTAAATAAATAAAACTTGAATTTGTCATTTTTTGTTGATCAAATCAAGTTAAAAAAAGGAATTAATGAAAAAAATAACTCTTAAGTAGCCAATTAAAGTTTAAATACCGAATGTAATTACTTAATTGCAACTTATTAATTGTGAAGTACGAATTCTTATAAATTTATGGATGTTGTGGTTGATTATGGCGGAATTGCGTTTGCTCGTGACTTTACGGTGAGCAATTATGCAATAACTTTGCAACGTATTACTGTTATTCGTTAAAAAATTCAATTAGATTGCATGAGCAATTTACTTTATTAATTAATATAAAATAAACTGAATTGGTTATCTAATTTTGTTTAATTCAAAATTAGATTGATATGAGATATTTTGAGCATATTGCTTAAATCTGTAAATAGCAGTTCTCTATAATATGCAAATGTAAAGGAGATAGGCCAAGCAGAACATCCATTGCTACTAATTTGATAACAATCATTAATTTTACGAAGTAAAGAATTTTGATGCAACTTCATCTACCTTTCTGAATCGATATGTAAGCACATTGACAGGGAATTATAAATTAAAGAGAAACAGAAATAAGCCGTGCGAGGAGAGGGGGTTTGGTCCAATTTGGTTGGTGTTTGTTCTAGACTGGACGTCGCGCCTTTTTTCGTATGTAAGTAAACTAAAGGCACGACGTCCAGTCTAGAACATACACGATCTTTTCTGATTGGCCGAAATGATTAAATCTAGCTCCATTTGTTACTTCCTATATTTCATCCTACAAGCTATCATCATATACTCTTTATATTATTTAACATTAACAAGAATAAAATATAATATATTTTTGTTAACTTTTTTCACTGAATACAACTTTATTTATATCTGATTTGTCTTTAGCAACTTGATTGTAACAATCTCAATACGATACATAAAATCTCTTGTTACAGTTTCGTCTAGTTTTCTTCTCTTCGCTTGTAATTCATCATCACATTCATTACTAATAGAACTGTCGCTGTTATCACTTTCGATTATTAATTAAAGTATCCTCATTTTAATGCAAAAAGTCGTTTTGAAAAATCACTTTTAGTTTTTGAGAAATAAATTTTTGAAATAATCGACAATTTTTTCGAATTTTGCAATTTTCGCCGATTAAGTTTTAAAAATTCGTATAAAATCCATTTCTTGGAATATGAGTATGAAAATTTCCCAAAGTGTTAATAAAAGTGTCCTCTTTCCAATGAACCAACCCGTTTTGAAAAATAACTTTTAGTTTTTGAGAAAACAATATTTGAAGTTTTGATAAAATTTTCGATGCTGCAATTTTCATCGATAATTTTCAAAATTCGCTATGAAGTTAATTTCTTGAAGGATCTTTGTGCAAATATCACCAATTATTAATTATAGTATCCTCTTTCTTATGCAAAAAGACGTTTTGAAAAATTACTTTTAGTTCCATTACTATAAAAGAAAAAAATAAAATGATAAAGATGTCAAAGATGATGTCAAAGAGACAAATGTCTATTTTATTTATTATTAATATTTACCTTTGAGTTTATTTGAATCTAAAAATTCTAGCTAAATTATTTTTAACGATTTACATATGTTAATAAAGTGACGGAATTAATTTTATCTGTAAGTGCGATTCATTCTTAATTTAAATCTTGATTTAATCTAAATTGAAACAAAATCCAACTATAATTACAAAATCTAATTTTATGATAACATTCTATTTCAGCCATTTTTATTATTTATTAAAAAAATTAAAGAAATAATTTTTAATTGAAACATGCAATACAAAAATAATTCAAAACCAACATCAACCAAATGTTGCCTCTATGATAATTGGAAACCTTGGGCACAAAAAGTACAAGGAAAAAATCAAGAAAATAATCGTTTTTGGGGCATTGTTGAGACACCTTACAAATATTGGGAACGCAAACCAAGATCGAATTTACCGAAACCTTTTTTCGATGGCCAAAATAATTTTCAACAAACCAGGCAAAGACTCGTTCTAAAAAATCGATTGGGTTCGGAACAAAATGAATCGAAAATTGTTCCAGTTCAATCGAAAAGAAGCATCCCGAATCACGCTTTAATGAAAAATTTACTCAGTGGGTTAAGTATTTTCGACGACGAGAAATTACCGGCCACTCAAAGCTCAATTTATAGGTTGTTTTATTTACTTACATATATTTATAAATTTTTTATTTGGTAATGCAAATTATTTTAATTATTTAGGCATAAATCATTGGGGAATTTAAAGGAATTTACCCCGAAAAATTACGAAATAAAACCCAGCGTAAAAAGCAGCATTGATTTCACCGAATCCTCCCAATTAAGGCGCGATTTTAACGAGGAAGATTTTAGAAAATACTGCAGAAATTACGCTAAAGTATCGTTACATAATCATTTAATTGAAACCCCCGAAAATTATTTCGCCCCTAAAACTTGCACCGACAAAAGATGTCCGTCTAATCACCACAACAAGAACGTAGGGGATGGATGTTTTTTTAAAAAGCATTCAAAATTCTTCGGGGATGAGAGGTAAAGATAAATATAAAATCAATAAATAAAAAAAAATCATTTAATCAAATTTATTTGTCAGCAAATTGACGTATTGCCTTCATAAAAGAAACATCGTTCAAGAACGCAAACGATTTTTTGAAAGAAAAGAGAAAGATATGCAAGAAGAATGTCGTCTTAGCAAGTATAAACCGCCGTTACAATTCTTTTCCACCAATTTACCAGTGGAAATGAAAACTCCTTGTTACAATAACGAAAGTGTAATGGAACTTTATAGAAATGCAAAAATCGTGGGAAGCGCCACGACGATTTCGCGAAGTAAACACTCAAGAATGAAACTAAACCAACATTTAGAACCGAAACAAATCGAACTTTTCCATCCCGATTATAACTTTGATAACAAAAGTAGCAGCGGAGATTTTAAACAATCAATCATCGATAGCATCCGCACGAAAATCTTTAAATCTCCATCGTCGTTTTCCGAAGAAGACGATTACTTCGATTCCCACTCAAATAAATTTCCTAAATTTCCGAAAGAAACCAGAAAAGCGATGTCGATCATTATGAATAAACAGAAAAAGAATTGCCGATGTTGCAAAACGAAACAATGTTTTAACGTTGAGACTCAAACGAGTCCGGTTTCTTCGAAAAATTCGGTTTGTTATTATAAAGGATTACCTTGCACGAAAAATTTGTTGTGTAAAAGAGGCTATCATAATGGGAGGTGCGAAGAAGAAATTTTAATTTCGAGGAAATTGGAAAGTATTTGTAGCGGGGATTGTTGTTGTAAAAGAGATCAACATTCATCGGAAGTTTGTAAGTATTTTTTTTAAAAGTGTATTAAGAGGAAATGAGTTTAATGAGTGTAATGATGTGTGAAATTGATTGGTTTAAAATAAATTAATTATTAATAAATTAATTAAAATAAATTGCTTATAAAAGTATTCTTAATCTTCTTTAATTAAAGATTAAATCATTTCTAATTTGCATGGTTGAAATGTTTTAAAACTTATTTATCAATTTGAACCTTTTAGCACTAACGCAAATGTTGTGCATATCTTCAGAAGACTAAAGTGCTTCTAGAAAACTAAATATTGTTTGTAAAAACTACTTTCTGCATGCAGAAGGATATGTACTACTTGCAAATAACTTCAACTGCTTACAGAAGATTACTCCTAATGGGGGAGAGTAGATGCAGCTTGCAGAGGATTAATTAATACTTGCTAATGAGTAGACACTGTTTGCAAAAAACTAAGTACTGTTTGCAGAAGATTAGATACTACCATAGAAGACTAAATATTGTTCTAAAAATTAGTACAGAAAACTATTTATTGTTTGTAAATGACTAGACACTGCTTATGGAAGACTAGATACTGCTAATCAAAGACTAACGTTGCCAATAGAATTACATACTGCTCTAAAAGACTAGTTATTGCGTACAAAACCTAAATATTGTTTTAAGAGGATAACTTACTGCTTGCAAAAGGTTAGACACTACTAAATACTGTTCTAGATCTAATTTTTTGCATTAAAAACAGGATACTTTAATTAATAATTGGTGATATTTCCACAAGGAACCTCCAAGAAATGAATTTTATAGCGAATTTTGAAAATTATCGATGAAAATTGCAACGTCGAAAATTTTATCAAAACTTCAAATATTGTTTTCTCAAAAACTAAAAGTTATTTTTCAAAACGGGTTGGTTCATTGGAAAGAGGACGTTTTTATTAACACTTTGGGAAATTTTCATACTCATATTCCAAGAAATGGATTTTATACGAATTTTTAAAACTTAATCGGCGAAAATTGCAAAATTCGAAAAAATTGTCGATCATTTCAAAAATTTATTTCTCAAGAACTAAAAGTGATTTTTCAAAACGGCTTTTTGCATTAAAAAGAGGATACTTTAATTAATAATTGGTGATATTTCCACAAGGATCCTTCAAGAAATTAATTTTATAGCGAATTTTGAAAATTATCGATGAAAATTGCAACATCGAAAATTTTATCAAAACTTCAAATATTGTTTTCTCAAAAACTAAAAGTTATTTTTCAAAACGGGTTGGTTCATTGGAAAGAGGACGTTTTTATTAACACTTTGGGAAATTTTCATACTCATATTCCAAGAAATGGATTTTATACGAATTTTTAAAACTTAATCGGCGAAAATTGTAGAATTCGAAAAAATGTTGATCATTTAAAAAATTTATTTCTCAAAAACTAAAAGCTATTTTTCAAAACGGCTTTTTGCATTAAAAGGAGTATACTTTAATTAATAATTGGTGATATTTCCACAAGGAACCTCCAAGAAATTAATTTTATAGCGAATTTTGAAAATTATCGATGAAAATTGCAACATCGAAAATTTTATCAAAACTTCAAATATTGTTTTCTCAAAAACTAAAAGTTATTTTTCAAAACGGGTTGGTTCATTGGAAAGAGGACACTTTTATTAACACTTTGGGAAATTTTCATACTCATATTCCAAGAAATGGATTTTATACGAATTTTTAAAACTTAATCGGCGAAAATTGCAAAATTCGAAAAAATTGTCGATCATTTCAAAAATTTATTTCTCAAGAACTAAAAGTGATTTTTCAAAACGGCTTTTTGCATTAAAAAGAGGATACTTTAATTAATAATTGGTGATATTTCCACAAGGATCCTTCAAGAAACTAATTTTATAGCGAATTTTGAAAATTATCTATGAAAATTGCAACATCGAAAATTTTATCGAAACTTCAAATATTGTTTTCTCAAAAACTAAAAGACATTTTTCAAAACGGGTTGGTTCCTTGGAAAGAGGAGACTTTTATTAACACTTTGGAAAATTTTCATACTCATATTCCAAGAAATGGATTTTATACGAATTTTTAAAGCTTAATCGGCGAAAATTGCAAAATTCGAAAAAAATGTCGATCATTTCAAAAATTTATTTCTCAAAAATTAAAAGCGATTTTTCAAAACGGCTTGTTGCATTAAAAAGAGGATACTTTAATTAATAATTGGTGATATTTCCACAAGGATCCTTCAAGAAATTAATTTTATAGCGAATTTTGAAAATTATCGATGAAAATTGCAACATCGAAAATTTTATCAAAACTTCAAATATTGTTTTCTCAAAAACTAAAAGTTATTTTTCAAAACGGGTTGGATCATTGGAAAGAGGACACTTTTATTAACACTTTGCGAAATTTTCATACTCATATTCCAAGAAATGGATTTTATACGAATTTTTAAAGCTTAATCGGCGAAAATTGCAAAATTCGAAAAATTATCGATCACTTTAAAAATTTATTTCTCAAAAACTAAAAGTGATTTTTCAAAACGGCTTGTTAGATTAAAAAGAGGATACTTTAATTAATACTTGGTGATATTTCTACAAAGATCCTTCAAGAAATTAATTTTATAGCGAATTTTGAAAATTATCGATGAAAATTGCAACATCGAAAATTTTATCAAAATTTCAAATATTGTTTTCTCAAAAACTAAAAGTTATTTTTCAAAACGGGTTGGTTCATTGGAAAGAGGACACTTTTATTAACACTTTGGGAAATTTTCATACTCATATTTGTATTGTGCCGGATATTTGTTCCACCACTAAAATGACTAAACAGTGCTTGTAGAAAAATTAAAGACTGGACGTTAATGAATAAAAGTAATAAATCGGAGCATATTTGAGCTTATGAAGCAAATGGGTTAAGTTATATGGATTTAATACAAAAAAAGTAAATCTATAAATGTTATATTTTTCCCGGCGATCGTTTCTATTGATAATTGTGTATGATTTTATAAGCGCGTGTACCGGAAGGTTAAAAATATATTAACAATTATTCATAATTGTTTTTAAGATTGACCATTATAAAAGGAATTGACTATGATAAGATTTAGGAAATACCAAAAATGAATTTATCTGCTGACGTTACTTGATTAATGTTTTTTTATTTATCAGAGATTATTATCTGGCTTATATAAGATTGTTGTTTACTTTTAATAAAAAAAAAGTTGCAATTTAATCTCCACATCAAAAATAATTAACAAACTCGGTTGATTAGCAATGAATTTGTCTATCAAACGTCATTAAAAAATCAAATTATTAAAAACTAAATAATTTAATTTCAGTAAGATCATCTTTTTGGTCGATTAGGAGCCGAATACATTCTTCGATTCGAAACCCGGCCATCAACGACGATTACATCAATTATCAAACCGATTATGATTCTTCGGTTGAAGAAAACGTTGAAAATCCAGTTCATTACGAGTACAGTAAGCCATTTATTTTTACTCCTACGTTTTTATTCAAAAACTTTTCTTTTCTATATAGATAATAATAATAAAGTGGATGTTCCTATTTCTAAGAGTTCCAACAATCAACTCAGTGGAGTTTACAAAGAACGAGTAAGTTACGGTAAGTTTTCTATCTTGCTTTTAATTTTTTTAAAGAATTCAGTACCAAAAAGAGAAGTTAAAAATGCCGTGGTAATATCAAAACAGTTGGATTTGCAGTAAACCATCTGTTGCGATCGAATGAGTTCGAACCCATTAAGTTCAATCTCTCCACAACAAATTTCCGATCTTTTCCCATAATGCGGGAAATTTATAGGAACGTTTAAACAATAATTAACGCTCAAACATTCTTTTTCATTTCCATTACAACTTTTTCATTACAAATTTTTTTAGAAAGATGACGTTTCGCTCTGTTAACTTTTGAAAAAGTAGTGTTATTCTGGCGCTTTTCCGGTGCCCACATGTGCTACGTATCTTTATACCGTATACACAATAATAATTTATATTTCATATAGCAAGAAATTTTTGCTCGGGTTATCTCACTCCGGTTCCCGGTTCCGTCGTATTTCTAGTCCGCCCTCTTTCTTTAAAATTAACTGTACATTGTCTTGCATTGGCTACCATATGTTTTATTTATACTCGGCCCGTAGACCGCGTTAATTTCCTCTAATTGCCGGTTCCAGGCCAGACGAAGTCATGTTTTCACAATTATGAATTGCACTGTAACATCCTCTCATTAAATACGATGATATTTCATTTAACATTCATCATTTTTTTATGCTTCATTTAAAAACATATTTCTGAAATGATATAATAATAATGTTAATAACTTATACATAAAAGGATATGACGTTTTTGCAAAGCATTTGCTTTTTCTGTCTATTGAGGAAATGATTCTGAGCATCAAAACGGGACTCAATATTTTCTAAAGATGGAGACCTTTCTCTCTTCTTATTATTTGTATTTGTTTGTAGAGGAGATATTAAATGGTCTAATTTTGCGTTATGCTCTGCACTACTATCCGTGTAAAAAGTCACTTTAGAAATCGAATATCTTCGTAACCGCTCGATGGAAAAAATTGCGGTTAAGTTTATTGTAATCAGTGAACATTTCTGCTTATCACATGTTAATTTAAAAATTTTCGGGTCCACGGTTTTTCTTTGATCACGAGTTAAGTGAAAAAAAATATGTTAAACAATATCGGTTGTCGAATTCTGTTATCAGTTTTTCAAAATTAAGGCTTTTTTAAGAGCGATTTAATGCAATTACAAATTAAAGAGAACCAGAAATAAGCTATGCGGGGAGAGGAGGGGTCCGTCCAATCGGAACAGATGGTGCGTCCTAGACAGTACGTCGCGCCTTTATCATACCTACATAAAGAAATAAGGCGCGACGTCCTGTCTGGGACGCACCATCTGTTCCGATTGGACGAAACCCCCTTCCAATTATTAATTAAAGTATCCTCTTTTTAATGCAAAAAGCCGTTTTGAAAAATAGCTTTTAGTTTTTGAGAAATAAATTTTTGAAATGAACGACAATTTTTACGAAATTTGCAATTTTCGGCGATTAAGTTTTAAAAATTCGTATAAAATCCATTTCTTGGAATATGAGTATGAAAATTTCCCAAAGTGTTAATAAAAGTGTCCTCTTTCCAAAAAGCCAACCCGTTTTGAAAAAAACCTTTTAGTTTTTGAGAAAACAATATTTGAAGTTTTACTAAAATTCTCGATGTTGCAATTTTTATCGATAACTTTCAAAATTCGCTATAAAATTAATTTCTTGAAGGATTCTTGTGGAAATATCACCAATTATTAATTAAAGTATCCTCTGTTTAATGCAAAAAGCCGTTTTGAAAAACCGCTTTTAGTTTTTGAGAAATAAATTTTTGAATTGATCGACAATTTTTTCGAAGTTTCCAATTTTCGGCGATTAAGTTTTAAAAATTCGTATAAAATCCATTTCTTGGAATATGAGTATGAAAATTTCCCAATGTGTTAATAAAAGTGTCCTCTTTCCAATAAACCAACCCGTTTTGAAAAAAACCTTTTAGTTTTTGAGAAAACAATATTTGAAGTTTTGATAAAATTTTCGATGTTGCAATTTTTATCGATAACTTTCAAAATTCGCTATAAAATTAATTTCTTGAAGGATCCTTGTGGAAATATCACCAATTATTAATTAAAGTATCCTCTTTTTAATGCAACAAGCCGTTTTGAAAAATCACTTTTAGTTCTTGAGAAATAAATTTTTGAAATAATCGACAATTTTTTCGAATTTTGCAATTTTCGCCGATTAAGTTTTAAAAATTCGTATAAAATCCATTTCTTGGAATATGAGTATGAAAATTTCCCAAAGTGTTAATAAAAGTGTCCTCTTTCCAATGAACCAACCCGTTTTGAAAAATAACTTTTAGTTTTTGAGAAAACAATATTTGAAGTTTTGATAAAATTTTCGATGTTGCAATTTTCATCGATAATTTTCAAAATTCGCTATAAAATTAATTTCTTGAAGGATCCTTGTGGAAATATCACCAATTATTAATTAAAGTATCCTCTTTTTAATGCAAAAAGCCGTTTTGAAAAATCACTTTTAGTTCTTGAGAAATAAATTTTTGAAATAATCGACAATTTTTTCGAATTTTGCAATTTTCGCCGATTAAGTTTTAAAAATTCGTATAAAATCCATTTCTTGGAATATGAGTATGAAAATTTCCCAAAGTGTTAATAAAAGTGTCCTCTTTCCAATGAACCAACCCGTTTTGAAAAATAACTTTTAGTTTTTGAGAAAACAATATTTGAAGTTTTGATAAAATTTTCGATGTTGCAATTTTCATCGATAATTTTCAAAATTCGCTATAAAATTAATTTCTTGAAGGATCTTTGTGGAAATATCACCAATTATTAATTAAAGTATCCTCTTTTTAGAGTTGCTTCGTGAGTTAAATCAGCATCAAAAAAGTTCGTTTTGTATCTTGGATCCAAATAAGTTGACATATCTATCTTATCAGCTTTCTTATTAATTTCATTTTTATTCAAATATCACAATAATGTGACAATTTAGGGTATCACCTCAGAAATGCACCGGAAGTTATAACTTTTGGATAGATGGCCGGATAGATATGCCGAATAACAGCAACATTTAAGCAATAAACAGTTAGACAGAAACACAATTTTTTCCTGGAGATACTAACATTTTGATCGTAGCCTCGATCTGTAATACCCTTCATGAAAGAGTTTGTATACTTGATGAAATGGCTGAACTGGTAAACTGCTTGAAGCAACGTTTAAGTATCATAACCTAGATATTTAGACATCCTTTTTTTCTAATTGTGCTGGTTCCACCAATGTTTCTATTCTATAGTATAATTCATGTAAAAGTTGTTGTAAAAAATGTTAGTCAAGCAAAACAATTGACACTCCAAGACCAAATAGCTTGTAATTAATTAACACTAATTTTTGTTGTTACACTTTTATACAATTCAGTCACCAAAGATCTCCCTAAAATAATGCAAAATTTTTAGAGAAATTTTTTGTTTAAATAAATAAAACTTAAATGATGTAACAATATTAATGATATATAGTTTAGGTGTAACCACACCTTGAAATACCCATTCTAGTTACGCTTTTACCCCCTACATGAAGCTTTCGGGCTGTGTAAACTGTTCTTCTTGGCGAAAAATCCCCACCCCGGTATATAAACGTAGAGGACGAGCCGCTTCTCCAGTTAGTTAGTACGCGATCGTTGTTCTCGTCGTGGTTCGCAGGAAAACAGTTCCTCACTCATTCACTCATCATATCATAAAATCTAACTACTTCACAGTTGAAAATCGCCGCAGTTTTTTTTTAGTGATATTTCGAATCCAAGCGAACGTTGAGTCGAAGAATAAAGGTACGTTTCATACATAATATTTTCCTTTTCTCTTCTTCTGTGAATATATTGATTCATCGGGAGGTTCGGGAGCCATTGTGGAATTTCGTTTCGAGTAAGACGAAGACGGAATGAATATTGTATAGAGGGTGTGTTAGATTGTGAGTGGGTGGATGGTTCAGAGTTCTTTTAATGGGTGCGTGTCTGGGTTTCTTTTTTTCTGTTCAATATTGAAAAAATTTATTTTTATGTTGCAGAAAAATAGTAGTTAGTTACACTATGTACTTTGCACCCATAAAACAAGCTCTTTATTAAAGAGTACAATTAGTCGTATCAATAATAACGACAGGGAATAACTATTAAGATAACACCCACTTTACATAGATCATCGAAACATGATAATCGGGTTAATGAAAGATTATTTTTATCCACCCATAAAATGTATTCACCCGAAATAAAATTAAAAAAAACCTCCTTATCAGTTTTTGTTATTGTTATCATAAATTTGAACAGAAATTAAAATTATTGCTTATCATTTATTCCTTCCATGTTTCCTGTTTAGTGGTCATTGCTTTCTTCTGTAATCTTTGCGCGATATGATGCTGTTGCCCAGCACGATAGCGGTTAATGACTTTGCAAGGTCACATCGTCGATATGTGTGCAGCAGCTTCATTTGTACGTGAAGAAGATAAAAAGTACGTGAGAGAATTTTACGACCCGTAATTGATACTTGGGGAGTTGTTTTTATTTTCTGTTCGGGTCAACAGACATGTTTTTTGAGCGAGCTTTTATCATTCAAATTTGCTTTAAAATGTTTTTTATTTTATTGTAATATCTCTATTAGTTCTCCAGATACGATTATATCTTACCTCTTTTAGTTCCTCCTTCGGGGCTTCGCCAAGTCTATTTCCGGATTCATCCCTCGACGTTTTGGCTCCATCATTTGAGGTACTTCATTTCATCCTGTCTTCTCTCTCCTTATTAGGCTGCTTCATGTAATTGAATTTTTCCAGAATCATTAACTGCAATAAAAAAATCTAACTTAAAATTGCAATTCACTTTCTGCGCTTTTATTTTATTAGATTTCCCACTAGATCAGAAAAATATCTTAAATTTCTTGTAATATTATCTCAAAATGATCTACAATAACAATCAAATAGACCCCAAAGCAATTTGTGTTGGAAGTTACAATGGAAATATTGTTGTATTAAGTCCTATAGCTTACTGTATCAGCTATATCTACTGTATTATTTTATCTCATACGTTATCTGTGGTTTTTCATCAGGATGCTTCTTCAAATCAGTCTCACATAGTGTCTCTGTAGTTTTGTATAGATAGAGTTATTGCAAATCACAAACTCTGGAAGCATTAAAAAGTAACAAAAAACACATGAACGAATAATTCGGGAACAAACGTGTTATTACTAAAACTAAGAGTCAAAGATAATATATAAAATTGACTGTGTCTGATCTCCTAGCTCTTCTAGTCAGTTTGGAATTATGTAATTATGGAACGTAACGGGCGTGACAAACTTAAAACTGCTAAATTTGACGTTATCATTCCAAAAATCAATCTATTATCTACTTGCGTTACCTAACACGTTATCTACACTAACGCACTACTTTACCCGAATGATTATTGATTCATTACTGCATAAATTTCTTGTAATAAACCTTTTATGTCATTACCGTAACGGGCGTGACAAATTAAAACTACAACATTTGATGGTAAGCGTTCAAGAAATGAAAGGTGTCATCTACCTGCATTACGTAATACTATAATTAATAATTTCTTTTAATTCCTTCTTTTTTAATATAATTGCCGTAACGGGTGTGACAAATAAGTTAAATTAAATATTATAATGAAATAATCTTTCATTACTCTTTCTGTCCGGGATCATCAGATGTTATCTTCTCAAAGGAAAATCGTTTAAAGAAGTGGCAGTGAATGATGGTGTGCTTAGTAATGATAAATTATTGTATATGTCATTAGTTGGGAAATTTGTGCCTAATGGGTATTGTCAGCGTTGCCAACCTATGCCGACCAAATGCTCGTAGAATCAATGGTAAAAAATCGGTAGGTTTGAATACAAAGTCAGGAAAATGTTGTTTGGTAAAAGTTTATAAATGAATTTATACACATATACAGGTGTCCCATATCTTCCGCATCATAACATTATATGGTTATTATAACCACTTCGAAACATTTTTGCCCTTAGATACGTCAATATCGAGACATACGAAAATATGAATATTTTATGAATTTGTTGCTTTTTCAAGTTATTAAAGGTAACACTTGAGAATCGGAGCTTGCTATAAGAAAACTTTAATAACAAAAACTGTTGCCAATTTTATTGTTAACAATATTGGTCTCTTACAGTTGTACTCTCAGATACGTCAATATCGAGATAGATACAAAAATATGAAAATTTGATGAATTTGTTGCTCTTTCAAGTTATTAAAGGTAGCACTTGGGAATCGGAGCTTGCTATAAGAAAACTTTTATAACAAAAGTTGTAGCAAATTTTATTCTTAACAATATTGCTTTCTTGCACTTTTCTTCTTAGGTGCATCAATATTAAGAAAAATAAGAAAATATGAAAATTTGCGGAATTCGTTATTGTTTGTAAGATGTTGATGGTAACACTGACGAATGTGAGCATATTGCAGAAAAACTTTTAGAACAAAAGTTGTAGCAAATTTTATTCTTAACAATATTGCTCTCTTGCACTTTTCTTCTTAGATGCCTCAATATCGAGAAAAATAAGTAAATATGAAAATTTACTGAATTCGTTATTGTTTGTAAAACGATGGTAACACTGAGGAACCTAAGCATATTGCAGAAAAACTTTTAGAACAAAAGTTGTAGCAAATTTTATTCTTAACAATATTGCTCTCTTGCACTTTTCTTCTTAAATGTGTCAACATCAAGAAAAATAAGAAAATACGAAAATTTGCGGAATTCGTTATTGTTTCTATCACTTTTCCTCTTAGATGCGTCAATATCTATTTTGACAATATTATATTTTGAACTGTTTTCAAATTAGGCAGGGGGTTTACTTATGACGTGTACTGTATACACCAACGATCTGGCAACGTTGCTCGAGCGATATTGCCATATCATTGGCATTTAATTTTGAAAATCGGTGATTAAGTCGTATACTGGTAGACTATCTTCTATATCGGTAAATCTACCGATAAATCGTTAAGGTTGGCAACGCTGGGTATCGTAGACGTATGTGCAGGAAAGGAATGAGTTATGAGTCTATCCCATACTCGTAATTGTTCTCAACATCTCTGTGCTACTTCTAAGTAATATTTAATTTTTTGTACATTATATTTTTCTTCAATCCATCTTACCAACGTGTTGAAAATTCGATTAGTATTATATATATTTATAGTTTGAAGTATAGACGTGATATTTGGTGATACAAATTTCATTTAATGGTAACCAAAGTCATTGTAATTACGCAGCAACCTCACATACAAATCGTACAATAGTTTTGAAACCAAATAACTGCAGTTATTACCCATGCTTTCTTGTCAGATCTCCATTGAACAGGAAAATTAGCCTTATTATGGTTTTTCAGTACACTCGGATTTTTACTCTGCTTAATTAACATTGGTTTCAGTTGCATACTTTTTGAGGCTTTGCTTCCCAATAAAATGTTTCCTGTCGTTTGCTTTTTTATAACTTGATTATATTAGGACATCTCCAATCTTCTCAAAATTCTTCTACATAATACTGAGAAGCGGGCTTGGGTCCCATATCGAGAAAGGGCGAACACTTTCTTTCTTACATATGAAAGTCCTCAACCATATGGATTTCTTCCAAGCTTGAGGGATGTGCTCAATGAAAAGGCAGAAATTGAATATGTTCTGTAATGGATATCAAGATCATTCAACCTCGTATACACCTTTTTCATGTCTCGGAGTTTGTAGTTCTTCATAATTGTGAGAGGTTCTTTTAAAAGTTGATAAGAGGTAACCTGTTGTGGGTAACTACACCCAGGTGATTAGATGGCGAAGATCGAGTTAGGTTTAGAGTTGCCTAAGATAAGTGATAAACACTAAAGGTATCAATTAAAAACTTTGTTACTTGTTAACGATTTACAATGTACAGTTTCGTAATTTATTGTTTGTCCACTTCATTATCGTTGAGATCTTAATAGTACCATCACTTTAAAATCCACACCGTATACATACCATGCGACAACCACCACAGTTAAGCAATAAACTCGGTTAACATTTCTTCGCGCAACGTAAACCAAAAGTCCAGTTATACCGAACAATTACAATTTTATAGCTCTTTTAGCTGTACTTGGAGAAGAAGTAGAAGAAACCAGCGCGCCGTGTTGAACATAAGCACGCATCTTTCGCGATAAAAAAAGATATAAAACTCGTTTATGGAACTCATTAAAAAACGCTTCGCATACCCAACACATTAATTAACAAAGAAAAATCTAAAAAATTTTAGAATTAGAGATTTTGAACGTTATTTCTACATTCACACGATTCTTAGAGAACGTTAACTTGAATAAACGAACACATCCTGTTTAATACAAAACCGTTATCAATCTCTTGTTATTGTAATGGTTGGTTTGTGTCAGACTAATCAACGAAGAAAGAAATGAGAAAGGCCTCGATTGACATCTGCGGGTTTAATTACCTACTTTACAACAAAAACTTTCTCTTATCTTTTAATTTTTATAAAATAAAAATTAATAATCGTTGTTATAAAGTATCTATAAAAAGCTTCATTTGAGGTCGTTTTTAAAAAGTTCTCATACAACGAACTCGCCAAAAATAGCCGTAACGCCTAAAAAAAAAGAAATAAAAGAACAAAAAATACAAGTAAACGTCTTAACATCATCGTCTCGAGGCCGTTTTAAAATTTCCTAATGGATAAAAAAACCTTTTTATTGTTTTCGTCTTAGGCTTGTTTTGCGCCGTGACGAATGAACAATCAATGAACGCGTTTGGAATAACTATCGTTGGCTTAACAGCTTTAAAAGTGATTTCCTTTTTCGTTTCCGGTGTGACACACCAAAAAAAAATTGTTTATTAATACGAAAGATCTCATTCCGATTTGTGCATGCAGATGAAATTTATTTCTGGAAGGAGACAACCTTGTTTTTACCCTGAAATTCTCGGGTTAATTTTAATTTGGTTTTACAAAATTAGAAATTCCTCGCATTCTTCTAATTTAGATAAAACAATACTTAATTAAGACCAAAAAAAAATTAAACATTTAGTAAACATTAAGGAACCATAAAGAAAGGTTATTAAAGCAATTAATTTTAATGATGAGATTCTTGTGCTCCTTCTGTGTAAAGTGATAGTTCATAAAATGTACAGCTATGACTCTTTGGATTCTTTAGATAGGTTTACCGTTTTGATAAATGTGACGTGGTTAGAAAATTAAATATGATTGATTGCAACAATCGTAAACATCTTCAATTTCGATTATTTCCGTTTCTATCTAATCATATCTTGTTGTAGAATTGAATTGATTGTGTTGTAGTAGAAGCAATTTACAAAGATCTTATTATTTTTAATTATGTACTTCGATAATAATCATTTAAAATTTCGTTTTCAAATAACGATCTTAAAACGAATTTAAAACGACCATCTGTTTATTTTCCTTTTTTAATATTGTTTGACTAAAGTTACCAGTTGGTACACGAACTCGCTGTCTCTCCAATGAACTCAACCAAACCCATGGGGACCTCGAGCTACAGACATAACAAACGGCTTGAAAGCCAACGGGAAGTCAAGCTGTTGCTGTTGGGTGACTGCATGACTCATTCTCGACGAACTAACCGATAATAACCCATATCGGCACAAAATTACGACTGGCAACGACGGATCCTATCACAACCACAACTGCATTTCTCAATTTACCTAAAAAGATTGCATTTCAATTTTAAGTGTTAATAAAAAAATTTCCGTACCTTCATTACAACATTAAAGATTCATTATTTGGTGTTTGTAACATCCCAACAATAGATTTATACGAAGAAATCGCCCCAACAATTCAAACGTTTGACAGTTCTCTTCTCAACAATGACATAACCTCAAATGTCAAAAATTTTTTGATTAAACCTTGCAAATAAATCTTCATAAAGTTAAAATTTATCAATCACACTATTAATTAACATTAATAAAACGAATTAATGTTAGTAATTAATAAATATACGCTATAATTAAAAAATGTTGTTGTTTTTTTTAATGCTTTTGATAAATTTTAGTTTTAATAAAAATAAAACATTTCTTACCTTCATTAAAACATCAAAAATGCATTATTTGGTGTTTATAACATCACAACAATTCATTTACACAAAAAAATTCACTCCAACAATTCAAACGTTTGACAATTAAGAATGACATAACCTTAAATGTCAAATAATCGATATTAAATTAAAACTTGCAAAAAAAACTTTATAAAATTAAAATTTATTAATCAAGCTTTTAATTAGATTTAATAAAACAATTTGAAATTATTAATTAATAAAAATACGTTATAATTACTTCAAAAATTATATAACCCAAACAATTTTTTTTTAGAGATTTTGTTTATTTGAAGTTGGTGGTTTTGAAAATCGTATTATTAATTAATAATCATACAGGGTGTGGCAAAATTATGGAGTAAATTCAACATTATTTTGCAAAAACAAGTCTATTTTGGTATAATTTATTGAGAATTAGATCTATTTAAATCAAAAAGAATGTTTTTCGTGGTCTTCCTCATAGTTGGAGAGCGTAACCGAAGCGGATCGTCTTCACGCTCTGAATTACAAAAGCAAAAACTTCATGTAATAACCAGCTAGTTCACTAAACGAAATATCGCGCCTGTGCTATAGAATTACCATAGAATGGTAGGGAACTTTGTCCAGTTTATTTTTTCTTTTAAACGCTGTTCTAAGAGTTCCTACTTGAGGGATTAACCAACGTTAGGTTTCTTAAGCGTTTAAAGAATTCGTAGTAGTGTACAAGAATACCTCAAGAATCCAAGAATTACTAATTGAAGTAGTTAACAGGAAAGTCTCAATGCAATTTTAGAAAAAAAAATCGTAATTAAGATGATTCATTCAATTAAAGTTTTTGTTAAACTCATTTTTGTTAAATTGCGGTCCTAATTAAGAGTTAATTAGCATCACGTTAAGCATTGATTAGCATTAAATAAACGATTTTTTATTCCTTATTTTCAGTTTCTTGTTCATTGCCGTCAAAAATGAATGGTTTAAACGGACACAGCAATGGTGACTTTAACGGTTGCGGAGATATAATCACCCAAAATCAACAAAGAGGTTGCTGGACGATCGGTTTGATCAACTCGAAATACAGATATTTAACCGCCGAGACGTTCGGTTTTAAGATCAACGCGAACGGGACGTCTTTAAAAAAGAAACAAATCTGGACGTTAGAGCCCGATCAATCGACTGGAGGTGAAACTTGCATTTACTTAAAATCCCATTTAGATAAGTATCTGGCCGTCGATAGTTTCGGCAACGTAACTTGCGAGAGTGAGGAAAAAGAGCCGGGATGTAAATTCCAAATTAGCGTTTCCGAGGATGGAAAGGGTCGTTGGGCTTTCAGGAATGTCGTTAGAGGTTACTTCTTGGGCTCATGCAGCGATAAGCTGACTTGTACCGCTAAAGTCCCTACAGACGCGGAGTTTTGGCACATCCATTTGGCAGCTAGGCCACAAGTTAATTTACGTTCAGTTGGGAGGAAGAGATTTGCGCATTTATCCGAAAATTTGGACGAGATTCATGTCGATGCGAATATCCCTTGGGGCGAAGACACTCTTTTTACATTGGAATTCCACGCCGATGAAGACGGAAAATATGCTCTTCACACTTGCAATAATAAATACTTATCAAATGGAGGTAAGAATTAATTCTTTCATCAAATTAGAATCAAAATTGATTTTATTTAACAGGAAAATTGATCGAGAAATGTACCGAAGATTGTTTATTTTCCGCTGAGTACCACAGCGGACAATTAGCATTAAGAGATCGTAACGGGCAATATTTGAGTCCAATCGGTTCAAAGGCTGTGTTAAAAACTAGGTCCAACACCGTCACCAAAGACGAACTTTTCTCTCTTGAAGATTCTTTGCCTCAAGCAAGCTTTGTGGCCGCTTTAAACGCTAGATATGTCTCAGTTAAACAAGGTAAGTAAAGTTAATTTTATTTCATTTCTTTGTGTTAACTTTAAACTTAATTTTGCGTTTTGCTCCAAGAAATTGGCTAATTGCGGAAACAATTAGGGCCTAAACTGTCTTCATCCGTGGTAATTACCGCGATATAAGCGATCCTCGAAACAAGAATATTCATTGAAAAATTCATCGACCTTGACTCCTCCGAGTGACGCAACTTCCTCCGATGCCTAAGAATATTCGTTTTAAGTTCCGGTTTGTTACTTACACGTTAATTGCAAAAGATTACAAGAATTTATTATTTAATATGACTTGATCATGATGTTGAGGAAAACGGTATTTCGACGTTTTTAAGAATGTTAACACTGGCTAACGGTGTTATATCTCAGATTTCGCAATGTCGTTGGAGAACGAAGAAGAAGAAGGGCAATACGCTTTGCAGATGTTGTGTTGCCTCGGATGAATGTAACCAGTTTATCCTCGTATTAGGTCGCGCCCGTGACCTTGAATGACCTTAACCGAGCGATCGAATTGATTTTTTTTTGTAAATGCGCATAGGGAATTCCGTTTTTAGTACGATCCTCTTTGTAACAAGAGTGTTCTTTGTAATGTGTTCTTAACGACATAGTAATTGCTTGTAAAATTCTGTGGGCCTCTAATAACACTGCGGTCGTTGTTTTGAATATTACACGCTCGGGTACGAGTTGTTACAGACCGTGAAGCAATGAAGAATTTTAATTTATTGCCCACCCTAAGAGGCCTTGGGAAAGGCTTCTGGAAATCGATAATATTTAAATTTTCCCATTGTTGGGTTTTCTAGGAACCTTTCTTGGGTTTATAATAATTATTGATATAGTAATAGAAATCGCGTTTCATAATAACTATGTTTTCACATTTCGATGGTGAATGGCGCGGTATTATATCTCGGCTTACTATCCTAGTTTCGTCGTAGAAATCACCTATTAATTTCTTTTATTCTTCACCTTAATACGTCTTAATACCTTTTGTGTGCGCGTCGCTAGAACAAATCAAAAACCGCGAACTACTTTTCTGCGCGCATATGTTCCGTAATAACCCATAATACGTTGATCTCTCCATTTATATGGCCTCTATTTTTCAAATATAATTGTGTCTTCGATTTCATATCAATTCAACTTCCTATTTACTTCTTTTAAAATCCTCTCTAGAACTAATCTGGATATAATATACTTGAATGTGCTGTACTATTCAGAGGGAAAATTACTTGCTTCAAATTCTTCATTTTGGGATTGCTGGCAAAACTCTTAAGAATATGACGAATAATACAAGATATAAATTTGTATCAATCTTTGTAACTATTCTTTGTTGATGAAGAACCACAATGTAAGCACATAATAAGATTGAAGCAGAACTGTAGATACCAAGACTACCATAAAGGAGTTTAAATAATGATTCTGCGATGCTGTTTGCGGAATTAAGCAAAATATTTTCAGAAACACTCAGTTAACCAAAGTACTTCCAAAATCTGTCGGAATCAAGTAACACTGAGGAATCTAAGCGTATTGCAGAAAAACTTTTAGAATAAAAGTTGTAGCAAATTTTATTCTTAACAATATTGCTATCTTACACTTTTGCTCTTAGATGCATAGATATCGAGAAAAATGCGAAAATATGAAAATTTCCGGAATTCGTTATTGTTTGTAAGATGTTGATGGTAACACTGAGGAATCTGAGCATATTGCAGAAAAACTTTTAGAACAAAAGTTGTAGCAAATTTTATTCTTAACAATATTGCTCTCTTGCACTTTTGCTCTTACATGCGTCAATATCAAGAAAAATACGAGTATATCAAAACTGGACGAATTTGTTGCTTTTGCAAGTACTTAATGGTAACACTTTGGAAACGGAGCATGTTATAAAAAAACTTTTAGAACAAAAGTTGTAGCAAATTTTATTCTTAACAATATTGCTCTCTTGCACTTTTGCTCTTACATGCGTCAATATCAAGAAAAATACGAGTATATCAAAACTGGACGAATTTGTTGCTTTTGCAAGTACTTAATGGTAACACTTTGGAAACGGAGCATGTTATAAAAAAACTTTTAGAACAAAAGTTGTAGCAAATTTTATTCTTAACAATATTGCTCTCTTGCACTTTTCTTCTTTGATGCGTCAATATTGAGAAAAATACGAAAATATGAAAATTTGCTGAATCCGCTATTGTTTGTAAAACGATGGTAACACTGAGGAATAAGAGCATATTACAGAAGAAGTTTTAGAACAAAAGTTGTAGCAAATTTTATTCTCAACAATATTGCTCTCTTGCACATTTCTTCTTAGATGCGTCAATATCGAGAAAAATCAGTAAATATGAAAATTTACTGAATTCGTTATTGTTTGTAAAACGATGGTGACACTGAGGAATCTAAGCATATTGCAGAAAAACTTTCAGAATAAAAGTTGTAGCAAATTTTATTCTTAACAATATTGCTCTCTTGCACTTTTCTTCTTAGGTACATCAATATCGAGAAAAATAAGTAAATATGAAAATTTACTGAATTCGTTATTGTTTGTAAGATGTTGATGGTAACACTGTGGAATCTGAGCATATTGTATAAAAACTTTTAGAACAAAAGTTGTAGCAAATTTTATTCTTAACAATATTGCTCTCTTGCACTTTTCTTCTTAGGTACATCAATATCGAGAAAAATACGAAAATATGAAATTTTGCTGAATTCGTTATTGTTTGTAGAACGATGGTAACACTGAGGAATCTAAGCATATTGCAGAAAAACTTTTAAAACAAAAGTTGCAGCAAATTTTATTCTTTACAATATTGCTCTCTTGCACTTTTCTTCTTAGATGTGTCAATATCAAGAAAAATAACAAAATACGAAAATTTGCGGAATTCGTTGTTTGTTAGATGTTGATGGTAACATTGAGGAATTTGAGCAAATATTTTCAGAAGCTGACATTACAAAAAATATTTCCAAAAGCTGATAGAATTAAGCAACATACGTTTAGAACCTGCTCGAATTAAACAGAATATTTCCTGAAGCTCAGATTTAACCGAAATATTTATAAAACCTGATAGAATTAAGGCAAACTATTGCATTAGATGATAGAATGAAGCAAAATATTTCCAGAAGCTGACAGAATTACGGAAATAATTTCCAGAAACTGATAGAATTAAGCAAAGTATTTCCAAAAATTGACAAGCTTTAGCAAAATGCTTCCAGAAGCTGGAAGAATTCAGCAATATACTTCCAATAACTGGCAGAATTAAACAAAATATTTATGCAATTGGTAATGTGTAGGTATAATACAGATGCTGGAATAAGATATTGCTTGTTTGGGTTGGTACAAAAATATTCGTTGTATTGGATCTAAGTAGATTAGTTCCAATCTTAACGAAACAGGGTTTATTGCTCATCTGGTAACCTTGTCATACAAATATCTGTTGTATATTATTTTTGGTATCAACAACGAAGGAATTACATCGCACTTCAAAGACTGCCAAGAGTTGCTGTGGCTTCACTACACGCTTTTGATTCTTTATTAATCAATTCCGATTTTTCAATTATCAGCGATTGTTAAGCTCTACTGTTCAGAGGGAAATTAAAAAAAATCTTTTTGTTAATATAAAAAAGTTATTATTAGAAACATAATAATTAATGTTAACAGGAATTGTTAAACTGATTTCCGATTCGATCGAAACCATTAACGAAGAATGCCACAAAGTAGTTTTACTTGAATTAAAAAAAAAATGTTAATTGCGGTTTAACCGCTATGTTTTGCTACTTTTCTATTTATAGAAACTACAATCTAAATGCTCGTTTTCTAAGAAGTTTTTTCTCTTTACAACAAAAAATTATATAGAGTCGACAATTATTTAATCATAACTTTCCTTTTCTTTGAAATTGATTATTTATTCATTATTGTTTTTTTTTTACTTTTTAGGAGTTGATGTAACTGCAAATCAAGATGAAATATCCGACCACGAAACATTCCAATTAGAATTCGATTGGACCACCAAAAGATGGTACATTCGTACCATGCAAGATAAATATTGGACTTTAGAAACGGGGGGAGGCATTCAAGCTTCAGGAGATAAAAGGTTTTTTGTCTTTTTTTTTTAATATTATTTTTTAAATAAATTTGATTAAAGGTCTTCAAATGCACTCTTTGATTTGGTTTGGCAAAACGATGGTTCTTTGGCTTTTCGAGCTAACAACGGTCGTTATGTAATCACTAAAAGGTCGGGACATCTTTACGCAACATCCGACGCCATCGATGAAACTTGCAAATATTATTTCTATTTAATTAATCGCCCGATTCTCGTCCTCAAATGCGAACAAGGATTTGTTGGTTATAAATCTGGTGGCAACCCGAAATTGGAGTGCAATAAAGCTACTTATGAGTGCATACAAGTTGAAAGGGCTGATAAAGGTGTTATTCATTTTAAAGGTAAATAATGAAGCTTTTTTAATTTTAATTTAGTTACTCAGGTAATCAATTTGACAGACTGGAAGAATTATTTGAAACGTCAAAATTTCATTTAATTGTTTAATTGACTTTCTAATGGTTTGATATTAAAAAAACGTAAACTAATTCCTTTTTCATATGATTTAAGAATAAATTAATTAATTTTCGTAAAAAAAACAATACGTTTTATGAAATTGACATTTAATTTTGAAAAATTGTTGTGAAGTTGGTTACAGTTGGTGACATTGAATATGTGTCACTTTGACGTTTAAACTTTATTCAAAAATTTATTAAAAAAAATAAATTTGTCCACTACTACTTTATAATTAGGGCACAACAAAACGTAAATTTCATACAAAAGTTGTTCTAAATTAAATTCTAAAACTATTTTCTCTATAAAAAAAATATATAAAAATATTATATAAAATTTTTTTTGAGATTATGTTCTTAATTATTGATCAAATCAAAAATTTTTATTAACAAAATTTGTTTAGAATTACTTCAGGAACAGTATTTGTTAATACAATTTTTTTCTAACTTGAAATTTTAATTTTCCTCTGAATAGTATGCTATCAATATTAATTATATCAACAATTATTGTTTTTATTAAAAAATGTTTTAAATAAAATTTGTTTCAATTTCGATTTTGAATCAATTATCTTAATAAAAAATTTTTACATCTCTATTAATTAAGCATCTAAGTATAATTATGTATAAAAACGGAAAAATTATTATTTTGAGGTTATCTCCTTAATTATTGATTAAATCAAAAAAAATTGTTGACAAAGTTTGTTTAGAATTGTTTCAGGAACAATTTTTGTTAACACAATTTTTTTCTAACTTGAAATTTTAATTTCCCACTGAACAGTATGATACAAAAATTAATATTTTTGAGGTTGTATCCTTATTGTTGATTTAATCAAAAAATGTTGTTAACAAAATTTGTTTAGAATTACTTCAGGAACAGTGTTTGTTAATACAATTTTTTGCTAACTTGAAATTTTAATTTCCCTCTGAATAGTATGCTATCAAAATTAATTATATCAACAATTATTGTTTTTATTAAAAAATGTTTTAAATAAAATTTGTTTCAATTTCGATTTTGAATCAATTATCTTAATAAAAAATTTTTACATCTCTATTAATTAAGCATCTAAGTATAATTATGTATAAAAACGGAAAAATTATTATTTTGAGGTTATCTCCTTAATTATTGATTAAATCAAAAAAAATTGTTGACAAAGTTTGTTTAGAATTGTTTCAGGAACAATTTTTGTTAACACAATTTTTTTCTAACTTGAAATTTTAATTTCCCACTGAACAGTATGATACAAAAATTAATATTTTTGAGGTTGTATCCTTATTGTTGATTTAATCAAAAAATGTTGTTAACAAAATTTGTTTAGAATTACTTCAGGAACAGTGTTTCTTAATACAATTTTTTGCTAACTTGAAATTTTAATTTCCCTCTGAATAGTATGCAATATGTAATTTTGACAAATTGTTGTGAAGTTGGTTACAGTTGGTGACATTGAATTTGTGTCACATTGACGTTTAAACTTTATTCAAAAATTTATGGAATCAATTTCAATAGTACTATTTACTAACAATATAATACTACTATTTTGTTTTAGGTCAAAATGGGAAATATTGGCATGTTGATAGTGAAAGTGTTACTGCAGATTCAGATGCGCCAGAAAATTTCTATTTGGAACTTCGCGAACCAACACGCCTTTGCATTAAGACTGCCAATGGAAATTACCTAACTGCCAGTAAAAATGGCGTTTTTCGTCTTGGTGATACATCCATCGAAAATGCAACCCAATGGGAATATTAAGATACAAGATTTTTTTATTACTATACATCTTTTATATACAAGTGGAATTTTGTACCAGAATCGTGCGAATTAAAACAGTTTGTTGATCGATAACTTGATTAACCAAATATTAAAGATTTGAAAGCAAGAAAGGAAAATGTAACGTCGCAGCATATTTATTGTATTTTTAGATTTAGCTATATCTATATTTTTTTAATATGTTATTCATACAGTATATCCCAAATTTAATATTCCAAATGATGGTTAAAAAAGAAAACGTAAATAATAATTATGATAATAATAATAAGGCGTTGTGAAGAGATCAAATTTGGAATGTACGGTATTATTATACATTTTTTGTAATTATAAGGTATTTTTGTCTACTATTATTTTTAGGCGTATTTTTTTTAATAGTGGAATGTTTCCTAAATGTTTGTAATGTTTACAATTTTTTTTGTACCTTAGCCTTAATGCTGTGTCGGTTGTAAGAGATTCTCTTATATTATAGGTGTACTTATTATTCATTGTGATTTTTTTTTAATAATCTCCCGCGAACTAAATTCGTTCAAAAACATAAAAATCATGTTTTCTTATTTCCTCCTCCCCCAATAATGTAACAACTATTCTTATAATATACATTATGTATTTAAAAAAAAATAAAATAAAAAGTACTGGAATATATTGTAACATTTGCATGTCTTTTTTATTTTAATTATCCATTTTTTTTTAATTTATCATTAATCATGCTATTACAATTTTAAGAAAACTGCCAACGTAATACTGCCAAAACAATCTGTACTAGAAATCAGCTCAAATTAGCTTAGGTACGGAACTGAATATTTTTTGTAATCGATATACATATTAATAAATAACCGTATTGTGTAATAAAGTTGTCCCACAAGGATGCAATAATAATCTAAAACTTATAAACTAAAAAGACTTAATTTTATTAATCGCATAAAATAATCTAATCTTTATATTCGTAAAGTGAAACATGTTTAAAAACGTCGATGTATGATTGAACAAAAGGAAATTAATAAAGTGTGTCAAAAATTTTTGGGTTTATACATTTGTAGAATAAAACCTCGATTTAACGGATCATACAATTAACAACAATTTAATAAATGAGTATATTTAAATATAAATATTAGCACTTCATTCATAGATTGAATCCAATTTGGGTTATTCCCCAAGTTGCTTCATTATTCATAGATATAGTTGTTGATGGGGAATCTGAGCATATTGCAAAAAAAGTTTTAGAACAAAAGTTGTAGCAAATTTTATTCTTAACAATATTGCTCTCTTGCACTTTTCCACTTTGATGTATAGATATCGAAAAAAATGCGAAAATATGAAAATTTGCTGAATTCGTTATTGTTTGTAAGATGTGATGGTAGCACTGAGGAATAAGAGCATATTGCAGAAAAAGTTGTAGAACAAAAGTTGTAGCAAATTTTATTCTTAACAATATTGCTCTCTTGCACTTTTCCACTTTGATGTATAGATATCGAGAAAAATGCGAAAATATGAAAATTTGCTGAATTCGTTATTGTTTGTAAGATGTGATGGTAACACTGAGGAATAAGAGCATATTACAAAAGAAGTTTTAGAACAAAAGTTGTAGCAAATTTTATTCTTAACAATATTTCTTTCTGTGTTACACTTTTCCACTTTGATACATAGATATTGAGAAAAATGCGAAAATATGAAAATTTGCTGAATTCGTTATTGTTTCTAAGATGTGAAGGTAACACTGAGGAATATGAGCATATTACAGAAAAACTTTTAGAACAAAAGTTGTTGCAAATTTTATTCTTAACAATATTGCTCTCTTGCACTTTTCCACTTTGATGTATAGCTATCGAGAAAAATGCGAAAATATGAAAATTTACTGAATTCGTTNAGCAAATTTTCATATTTTTCTCGATATTGACGCATCTAAGAAGAAAAGTGCAAGAGAGCAATATTGTTAAGAATAAAATTTGCTACAATTTTTGTTCTAAACCTTCTTCTGCAATATGCTCATATTCCTCAGTGTTACCATCAACATCTTACAAACAATAATTAATTCAGCAAATTTTCATATTTTCTTATTTTTCTCAATATTGATGCATTTAAGAGGAAAAGTGCAAGAAAGCAATATTGTTAAGAATAAAATTTGCTACAGCTTTTGTTCTAAAACTTTTTCTTCATTATGCTTAGATTCCTCAGTGTTACCATCGTTTTACAAACAATAACAAATTCAGCATATTTTCATATTTACTTATTTTTCTCGATATTGACGCATCTAAGAAGAAAAGTGCAGGAGAGCAATATTGTTAGGAATAAAATTTGCTATAACTTTTGTTCTAAAACTTTTTCTGTAATATGCTCTTATTCCTCAATGTTACCATCAAAATCTTACAAACAATAACGAATTTCGCAAATTTTCATATTTACTTTTTTTCCTCGATATTGACGCATCTAAGAAGAAAAGTGCAAGAGAGCAATATTGTTAAGAATGAAATTTGCTACAACTTTTGTTCTAAAAGTTCTGCAATTTTATCGTGAAAGTGGCAGAATGGAGTAAAATGTTACCAAATACTAATAGAATAAAGCAATCTATTTAGAAAACATGATAGTGTTAAGCAAAATGCTTCTAGAAGCTAGCAGAATTAAGTAAAATACTTCTAGAGACTGCAGAATTAAGCAAAACACTTCCAGAAGCTGACAGAATTAAGCAAGATACTTCTAGAGACTGTAGAATTAAGCAAAATACTCCCAAAAGCTGGCAGAATTAAGCAAAATACTTCCAGCAGCTACGAAAATTAGTTTTATTTCCAGTCTTAATTAATTTGTACCAAAATTAAGACAATTAAACATAAATTTATCTATTTATATAATAATTAAGATCCTTCCTTATCTTATAAGTTAAATATTAAGTTAAATACAATACATGTCAACGTTTCCAAGTAAACACACATAAAGTAAATAGAGATTTATATCAAGATATTTTACAACAATCTCACTCACTCAACGGTTACCTTACATCCATAAACGTAATTTACAAAAAATAATTATAAAAAAATGAAAATCTGCGATTTAAATTTACGCTTGTATGGAATAACAATTATAAGTAAGACTAGTTGAATTATTTTGTTTAATTGTAATTTATTTATTTTTTAAGTTAATATTATGTCGTTTTTGGTGGGTTTCTTTTTCGCTTGGACATCACCTGCAATTCCAAAATTAAAAACGCCCAACGAATATAATCCGTTAGACCACGTTTTAACGTCTGAAGAAGAATCTTGGTTGGCTTCTTTAATGCCACTTGGAGCAGCTACGAGTACATTCATCTCTGGATACGCCGCTGATAAAATCGGAAGAAAATCAACGTTATTTTTTTCGTCACTTATCACAACAATCGGGATATTATTAAGCATCATTGCGACGGGTATAAGATATTTATATTTGTCAAGATTTTTTAGTGGACTTGGCGCTGGGACGGTTTTTACTGTGATTCCGGTTTTTGTTGGGGAAATCTCGGAAATTAATAATAGGGGGATTTTGGGTTGTGTGATGGTTTTAGCGATTACTCTAGGAATTGTTTGTACTTATATAATAGGGCCGATTATTTCGTTGATTGATTTATCTTACTTACAATTAAGCGTATCGATGACTTTTTCTGTATTTTTAATTATGATCGTGCCGGAAAGTCCGTATTTTTACGTCCAAAAGGATAAATATAATAACGCTTATTCGTCTTTAAGAAAATTGAGAGTTTGTGATAACGATCGAATCGTGAATGAATTTGAAGAAATTCGAAAATCTGTACAAGTCTCTTTAGAATCACCGATATCTCTCGGGGATATTCTGAAAAGAACCGAATTATTTCGGGGGATTATTATCACGTGTTCTTTAGTTATGTTTCAACAACTTTCTGGTGTTAATGTTATTTTATTTTTTTTGCATTCGATTTTTAAAGAAACTGGGAGCACGATTTCGCCGGATTCGTCTGCTATAACAATAGGAATCGTTCAAGCTTTAGCATGCACGATCACGTCGATTTTCGTCGACCGATTGGGGAGAAAAATCTTAATGTTAATATCTTGTATTGGTGGCTCGTTGTCGTTAACAACATTCGGAATTTATTTTTATCTTAAAGAAACGAATCATAATGTAACTTCCATTTATTGGTTACCAATTTTAAGCATCGTTTTCTTCATGATCGCTTACTCCTTAGGGTTAGGTCCCATTCCTTTCGTCGTTTTAAGCGAAATTTTTCCAACTGGCGTGCGGTTTTTAGCTTCAACCATAACCATTTTTGTTTGTTTGTTGTTCACTTTTTGCACCACAACTTTTTTCCCGAGATTAATCGAGTTTATTGGGATGGCTTACACGTTTTGGATGCTTGCGGTGTTCTGTTTCATCGGGGCTACTTTTGTATTCGGATTTTTACCCGAAACTAAAGGAAAAACTTTTCAGGAAATTCAAGAAATTCTCAGAGCGCCTTAATATGTACTTTTTGTTATTATTAAATTGTTATTGTTATTATTAGAATTGTATTTATAATTTTTGTGTTATATTTATTATTTAGGAACTAATAAATAAATAAATAAAATTGATAAAGAAGAAAATACGCTAAATGTAGTAAACGGGTACCCGATTACAAAATTGCGCAAAAATGGAAAATAATATGAAAATTTGCGGAATTCGTTTTGTTTTTATTTGAATTATAATTGCAGAAGAAGTTTTAGAACAAAAGTTTTTCTGCAATATGCTCATATTCCTCAGTGTTGCCATCAACATCTTACAAACAATAACGAATTCAGCTAATTTTCAAATTTACTTATTTTTCTCGATATTGACGCATCTGAGAAGAAAAGTGCGAGGGAGCAATATTGTTAAGAATAAAATTTGCTACAACTGTTGTTCTCAAAAATTTTCTGCAATATGCTTAGGTTCCTCAGTGTTACCCTTGTTTTACAAACAATAACAAATTCAGTAAATTTTCATATTTACTTAGTTTTCTCGATATTGACGCATCTAAGAAGAAAAGTGCAAGAAAGCAATATTGTTAAGAATAAAATTTGCTACAACTTTTGTTCTAATAGTTTTTTTTGTAATATACTCATATTCCTCAGTGTTACCATCAACATCTTACAAACAATACGGAATTCGGCAAATTTTCATATTCACTTATTTTTCTCGATATTGACGCATCTATGAAGAAAAGTGCTAAAGAGGGATATTGTTAAAAATAAAATTTGCTACAACTTTTGTTCTAAAACTTTTTCTGCAATATGCTTAGATTCCTCAGTGTTACCATCGTTTTACAAACAATAACAAATTCAGCAAATTTTCATATTTTCTTATCTTTCTCGGTATTGACGCATCAAAGTGCAAAAGTGTAAGAGAGCAATATTGTTAAGAATAAAATTTGCTACAACTTTTGTTCTAAAAGTTTTTCTGCAATATGCTTAGATTCCTCAGTGTTACCATCACATCTTACAAACAATAACGAATTCAGCAAATATTTAAATTTTCGCATTTTTCTCGATATTTACGTATCTAAGAAGAAAAGTGCAAGAGAGCAATATTATTAAGAATAAAATTTGCTACAACTTTTGTTCTCAAAATTTTTCTGCAATATGCTTAGATTCCTCAGTGTTACCATCGTTTTACAAACAATAACAAATTCAGCAAATTTTCATATTTTCGCATTTTTCTCGATATCTATACATCAAAGTGGAAAAGTACAAGAGAGCAATATTGTTAAGAATAAAATTTGCTACAACTTTTGTTCTAAAAGTTTTTCTGCAATATGCTTAGATTCCTCAGTGTCACCATCGTTTTACAAACAATAACGAATTCAGTAAATTTTCATATTT